GGCTCTAACCCAGCCTTGATATGGCTCTAACCCAGCCTTGATATGGCTCTAACCCAGCCTTGATATGGCTCTAACCCAGCCTTGATATGGCTCTAACCCAGCCTTGATATGGCTCTAACCCAGCCTTGATATGGCTCTAACCCAGCCTTGATATGGCTCTAACCCAGCCTTGATACGGCTCTAACCCAGCCTTGATACGGCTCTAACCCAGCCTTGATACGGCTCTAACCCAGCCTTGATATGGCTCTAACCCAGCCTTGATATGGCTATAACCCAGCCTTGATATGGCTGCCATTTGCTTGAATGTAACACTTTCTCTATAAACCCCGTAGATTTTTTTTAATTCACATATCTCTTGCTTTTTGTAGCAATTAACAAGTTTGTCAGAGGTACTATACAGAAACAGAAGTGCATTGGAAACAGTGTTTCGCCTGATTGACAAAGACTGCTCTGGTAAGAAAATAATTTCACATTTGCTTCCATTTTTAAAGAAAGTAATCTTTGTTCATTTTTGTAAATTATGTACTTCCCCATTAGTCCAGATTGTGTATCCATCTGAATATAATATTACCTTTAAGTTTCTGATCGAAGGCATTTCTGATTTGTGTAGTCACATATTAGTTATGTTAGATTGAAAGCGTTTCTTTGTAAACATTCAAAGTTGCAGAGTTCTTGATAATCCACATTATCAGTATTTTTGTGCCACTGAGGAAAGTAAGGGCACGAAGCATCAAAAATTGTCATTTTTTGTTTATATGCATTGACAGATTCTCTTGTACAGCTAAATATCGATTCTTTATGCAATTTTTGGCCGACCTTATTGATTTGAGAATTCAAACTTTGCTTCACGTTGTTGCTGTTGTTCCGGCTCAACTTTAAAATAGTTTGGATTTCTTTGTGAATAATTTCTTGGTTTTTCTAAAGGTTTCTGCAACCTCTTTTTTTACTATTCCTGTCTGATACAATTTTTCATTTTTTTTCACATTTCTAGGTTGCATCAGCCTTGAAGAATTCAAAAATTCATGTGAAGTACTAAACCAGTTTTCCAATCACAAAATTCCCCCAGACAAAATAAATGACCTTGCTCGTGCGCTTGATATAAATAGAGATGGACTTATCGATTTTAACGAGTTTTTAGAGGCTTTCAGGCTAGTTTCACAATCAATGGAGCAAAATGATGTCTGAATTGTAGATTCTTTGTAAAGTTTCTTGCGTAACCAGACTTTTTGTTTTGTGGGCTACTCAGTTTGAAGTCTCGGGAAAAAAGTAAAGTACTATTGAATTACTCTGTTTTAGATTAATCTTACACAATCCTCTTTCGTTCAACATAAAAGATGCCCCATCTTTTACTCAAGGTTTTATTTTAGCGTTTATATCTTATGCTTAAAGGTAGCCAAAAATTGTTATCTTAAACCCACTAATGTTTGGCCTTTTTGCAAAAACCAAGGAAATGGCGTCAGTGTATGGTTTTAAGTACATCTCAGAATCATTAGGAGGCTAAGCTCCCTTAGACCCCTGTTTCCATGGTTTCTTGAAATTCATCATGTTTCAAAGATTAACCTGAAAACTTGGAGTTTATTGCATGAAAGCCTACCTATACCAGGCGACCTCAAAAGCCATGAATACCTCAAAGTCTAACATAAGAGATTTGAGATATAATTGGGATGTTGCTCTGGTATATTGTAAGAAGAAATGCTGGGATTGTAAAGCGTATATATATCAGCAAGAATTGATGTAATATGTTGAGGTTAGTAGTAGGGCACGATGCCAAAAGCTCAAGAATTAGGCCCCTTACGAATTGAATAAAGTTAAACCTTGGACAAAAACTTGTTGAATACGTCACTTAATCCAAAACTAAGAGTATTTTGGTTGTATGAGCTATATAAATTTGCTTTTTGGATTTATTCTTAGGCCAGAAATTATTTCTTTCCTGCTTATTTTTTTAAGGAGCGATCCTCAAAAAAATATTATGGCGTAGAGGCTTTGAAATCTGCTTTCTTTGTTTATTTTTTTTAAATATTCAATCTGTACAAGAAAACTAGCTAATTTATAGGAGTTTTTAAAAGCCTTTAGACACCCATAAGCTGCGGCTAGTTGCTGTAACAAGAACAGCACACAACGCCTTCCTTCCTTCCCTTTGCTCTGAAGACCTATAGATAAACACGAGACGATAGTTATCCATGCCTCATTATATATCTCATAATTGTCAATGTCCTGTTATTTGTTCCTAAGTTATCTCTGTGTGCCAATGTACCACGGTGTGGTTAACAGAAGGAACCAAAAATAATTTTGACATTTGTGGACCCGAATAATGTAAACATTCTTCCTATTATTTAAGATAAAAAAAATTTGTGAATATACTAGTCAAAGTCCGTTGTGTGGCTAGAACCGCTGTTTCAATAAACACACGCAGCCAACTCACATTCAGCCCAGGCCTTTCCCGGCCAGCCTAGTCACATTCAGCCCAGACATCAAGAAAGGGATTTCGATCCTACATTTGGTTGGTTTAATCTGAAGTCACGTTCCTCGTCGTAGAAGTACTTTGACAAACGTAGATGCAACAGTGTTGAATATTGAATTTGTAAATGTAAATAATTTTTGTTAAAAAAGATCAAAAAGTTATTTGAGAGGACAAATTGTATTTAATTGGTTGTTATTTTACATTTCTGCCAGGATTCTCCGAGTTTTATGTATTATGTTGTTAGAAAATGAAAAGTAGTTATCATTTTTTTAAGTTTAAAAACACCACATTAGAAAAAGACCAACGCCCCCCCCCCACCCCAAGGACTCTACGCTTTTCAAAACGTCACATCTCTCGGTGCTTGCCTCGACCACAAACAGAACAAGCTAGGAAATGTAGATTTCTGTACAGAAAAGGGCTGCCGCTTCTTTGACGTATTGAAAAGAAATTAAAGAAGTTAATATGTATGCCTTTTCTTGGGACCAGCCGAATCTCATTTCTTGGTCTCGCGGGAAAGACAGAAACACCAGGACGTCTTGAAAAGAATAGCCATAGTTATTGCCACACAATTGGCAACGGTTCATACGGTAACACCTCAACCATATTATTCTTTATCGTTAGACAAAGGCATTTTGCCGATAATAATCTCTCTTCGCGATTCATTTGTAAATTTAATTACATCGTCTCCATAGCAAAGAGGGGCAACAATATCTTATCACTTTGTAGAAGCTTGTCGCATGGCAGTGTAAACATGGTCAGGACAAGACAACCATGGAAGGCATGGAAGACAAGGACATTGCAACATTTAAGCTTCTTCTCCATACTTTTGCAAAGATGATATCGATTCCCGGAGTTCATAAAATGAAACATGAACTCAAGGGACATCTCAGTAAGGATATTCTACGTCAAGTGAACACGGGTAAAGACTTGGTTGGCTTACTTTATAACAATGGTTTCTTGAACGACAACAAATTGATGTTTTTTAAAAAAATTCTGCGTAATGCATCACTCCATGAGTTAGAGGACATATTAACAGAATACGTGGCCAGAAAAAGGGAGAGCAGTGACTTTATGACCGAAGGATCAAAACGTGAGTATTAGGGGTTCCAATTGGTTTCAACGTCCTACAATCATTTTGCTGGTGTTCGATTGAACTGCGCATCTTATGCTTCAAATACAGGTCCATTGTGTATGTTTTCTTATTACAGAGGTATAATTAAGATATAATGGTCACATTGAATTCCACATAACAACAGTTTTTTGTTAGTGCTAACTGATTAACAAAAAAACACTAAAAGTTATTATGAAGATACTTCTCTTGATCACTTTTGTCATAAACTGTTTGCCGAGCACAACATTTTATCAGGTATATTTATTCCATTAACTGTGATCTCCCTGTTTTTGACCGAATCTCCCTGTTTTTCTTTAGGAAAAATCTAAAATCTCCAGGTTTTGAAAATTTTAAGGTTGACAGGTCTGCGATCGCCTAAACTGTACTTTCGTCCTTGGTCTCTTGTGGGAGACCAGACTTCTCCTTACTTTGTGAGAGCTTTGCGAAGAAAGCTGGAATTTCGAGACGCTTTCATTATGAATAACTTCTAAACCTGATGTTTTTCTTTCCTTTTCTAGAATCTGTTGATAACAGAACTCAGAATCGACTAGATGCACTAGAGAAGACGATACAAAGACAATTCGTTGCCATCAACTACAAACAAGAACAGCTTTTTTGCGAAAATGACGAACTTTCTAGAAAAAGTGTTGCTTTTGACGTCATCAATTGCCGTTTAGGCGCAGAGGAAGAATTACTGCTGGAAATTTTGGCAAGAAAGAAGATAAAAGAGAAGGATTTAAAGAAGTATGAAATTCACACTAACGATGTTTTGGTGCTTATTTCTGAAAATGAAAGTCATCGATCAAAGCTGATTGAGGAAATTGCGGTCAAGGAGGCGGAGTTGAAAAATCTAGAAAGGGATTTAAAGAAAGAGAAAGATAACCGCAAAAATAGTATAATTAGCATGGTCCTGAGTGAGACAAACATTGAGAAATTGTCGCAGGTATTTCTCTTTTTACGTATAGCTTTCGGGATACTTGTGTAATTGTAAATGTTCTTTTGAAGTTGCCAAAAATAGGCCGCTTACCCTTTTTAACATCATGCAGTTTCAAAATACTGGCTGCATATTATTGATGTGCTAACATTGACACATTTTATGCGAAAATAGCTAATCTCTGTCATCAAGTATCTACCATTACAATGATAATTCATTATATCATTTCAAATTTTTTTATGATATAACAAAACTTGTTAAATCACAATGCCTTCTCATAAATAAGAAGATTAACAATGATAAAAGCAGACATTATTCAAAGTGGAGCTTAGTAATGGGATATTAACTTTTTGATTATTCAGATGATGTCTCTTTGAAATATCTGTCTCAGAAGAAGTAAGCCTGCGTCACAGACCTCTTCAGTTATGGTCTGTGGCGCAGGCTACTAAGGAGTCTGATTGTTGTCGGTGACATTGGAATAGGATAGAGTTGTCAAGTGATGTCGTCACAAAAATCCATTTTTAGAATTTTTGAAAGTGTTCCCTTAACCTGAAAGAGCATCATGAAATTCCTCGTAATCTGCAAAATCAGTTAAGGGTATTACGAATTGGCTGAGATATTACCAGATGAGTCCAAGCTCTGACCCCATCAAGCCTCTGTAATTTGGTCTCAGTTCATTACTTGGCCCTTACTTTATGGACTGAGCCAAAATAACAGTAATCCGTTAGCAAACTTCAAATCATGTATTGGCCATAGCTCACCCGATTTTTAACAAATTTAACTGATTTTGCATGTGTTGGAATATTTTATGCTGCTCTTCTCTGTTATGTAGTCAAAATTGGAAAATTCTAAAAATAGTTTTTGTGACGTCACACTTAAGAACTCTATTCGTATTAGCAGAGGGATAGCCTAGAGAGTAGAGCGATGCATCTACGTTATATCAACTGTACTCTGCCAACCAACCAATAATTTTCTTCATTTTATGATCATATGTACTTATTGCGGCTTCTTCCTAAATGAACAGCCTTCAGTTAGCCTTGCTGTACCACCTGTTGGTTGGCAGAGTACAGTTGACATCTACGTCAATCACATTATAAGAGCACTACGAAATAACTTATTCATTCTTCTAATGTATTTATTCATTATTCTTTTAATGTATTTATTCCTTCTTCTTATACACAGGTCATCACAAAACTTAGGAAAGACATTTTAAATGTAGCTAAAGAACGAGAGAGATTGGAATACAAACTGCAACATATCGAGACAAGACGAGAGAGACATAAAGATACACTTAGGATAATCAATCTTGAGCGAATTGCCAAAGTTAAGGATATCTCTGAGATGGAAAAGAAACTGATTGAAGCAAAAGAGAGCTATCTAGACCAGGCAAGGAAAGTGGGTAGCCTAGAGTTAGAGGTAATGGAGCTCATGCATTCGATGGAAGGAAACGAGGCAGAGGCAAAAGAAACTAAAGACCGCGGGTTGCAATGTCAGTCAGAATTCTTAATGATGGCATTTAGGAATATTAATCAAAGAATAGAGGCAAAAGAATTTCATGTAAGTATGATCTATTTATTTCAATCAGTGAAGTGCTGTAGGAATGATAAAAATCATTTAGGGGCATGGTCGTTTGGAAACAAAAGGAAGATAGGGGTTGCTAATTCGTGACAAAGGATTCTCGTTGCTCCACTCTCCACGCTTTTCGCAAGCGCCCTTCTGTTCAAGGCTATAAAAAATTATTTGAATTCTCTCCATTCACTTCTAATCCCCGCATGACTCAACGTATTTACAACATCAAGTGTTTCATTTTTTTTATTGTACTACACACTCAGGGGGGTCAACTAAGCCTAGTTTTGGACGGGACGTGCCATTTTGTTCAAAATTTGGACCCAAAATTCCACACATTTCAGAAAAAAATGGGCACCCGTAATTCTGCAAACATGATGAAAACTTTACCCATAATTCCACAACACTGCATAATCAGCAAACAAATTTTGAATGTTCTTTGCCCCAAAATCTCAATATTACAAATATTCCATAATTCCATTTCTAACTGGATATTCATTTTGTTAATGCTAAATTTTCCTCCTAAGAATTTTGCAATCTTCTCCAAATATGGTATCCATAATTTTGCATATATTGCAAAAAGTGATACCCATAATTCTTTCCAGTAAAACGTATCCTAAATAATGGCACGTCCCCGTACCTGAAAACCTATCAAGGTAACCCTCCCCCCATCCCCCGACAATATATACACATCCTCATCTGTTGAAGGACTTCCCTAACTTATGAGATGACTTGACTCGCTATTAAAATTCAGGTTAACGGATACTTAGAGGCATGTGACTTTTGTCCTTTTTTGTATCTTTTCAATATATTTGCTGGTGTTATCGCCGTAAAGAAGGCGTTGGTGAAAAAACCTTAAAATTCTTCGTGTTTTACGAAGGATTGAGTAAAAACTGACGTTGCATATTTGCTTTTGCCATCTGGTGCGGGGCTGATTTTGATCAAAACTACGTTCTTTCTAGGTTCTGAAGTACGAAGAGATAGACGAGCTTAAATCGTTTGTTTTTGGGGAGTCAGGTTCAAGACTTTCTCCTTTACAATTTAATTCGCCCATATCAGTTGTCTTCAGTAAAGATAATGATGTTTTCATTCTGGATCAAGGCAACCGAAGAATTGTGATCACCGATCTATTGGGTCGTGTGCAGCGTGAGCCTATACTGCTAGGAGATATCTTTGAGGCTGTAGATATGAAAATGAATCATAAAGATCAGTTACTTATCATGAGCTGCTCCTTAGTAAAGATTCTGACCAATAAAGGGAATCTCTTGTTTCAGTTTTTACCCGAAGCAGAGCCAAACGAGCCGTTGCCAGAATTGACTGGAATTGCTGTCAATGTTGATAATGATATATTCCTTTGCGATTCGGTTAATAAAAAGATCCAGTGTTTCTCGGAAAACGGAACATTTAAAAGGTTTATCAGACTAAGAGACACCTTTTACAGCCCGAACAAACTCACCGTAATAGGAAAAGCCGAATTGGTCGTTAGTGACGATATGGATAGTGACTTGAAAGTTGTTGACTTGTCATCTGACAATGTAACAAGAACAAGGAGGATTGGAAATGAAGGTGTTTGCCTTGGAGAATTTCTCTATCCAAATAGAATGACAGTGGACAGAGACAATAATATATTGGTAGTTGATACGGGGAATCACCGTATCCAGGTTTTTGATGCTCACAAACATGCGATGACAACTTTTGGGCGACTTGGTTCAAAGCCTGGATGTCTTGATACCCCTACCGGAATCGCTGTGCATCCGTACGGAATTGTTGCCGTTGCAGATAGTAAGAATAATAGAGTAGTGTTGTATAATTAGATCAACTTTGTTTTGAAATGCCGTGTTTTTCTTCTGCTTGCGGACTTCATTCTAAACGCTACAGCACTTCTCTAAACGAAGGGCTCCTCTGTTAGCTGCTGTCACTAGACACCATAGGCTTGTGAGTATTGCCCAAACCCCACTGCTTGCCAGGAACGTAAAGAATAAAGAAACTGACCACAAATCAAGCCACTTTTTTACAGCCTTATGCCCACTCCTCTACTCTTCTCGACACTCCGTGGCTCCTGGTCACTGAGTGCCATCCTTTGTTGGTGATATGCTGGTATTAGGATAGCATCTAATGGGACTCGTTTCGTATCATTATCCTGGAGGGACATTCGTGAATCTGGGTAAGAATAACGTTATAAAAGTTTCAATTTTCTGGTGTCAAGGACCCCGGAACAATAAAGGGACAATCGATGCATACCTCGAAGTAGATGACTTGAACTGGGGATTTTCGAAAATTGGCTTCGAATCCTATGTTCACAATCACATTGTCCGAGTGAAATTTTTTATGTATTATCAGTAGCAAATCCTGTACATACCCTTCTAAAATTTTTCCCAGTCTTCTCTTTTTTTCAATCATGGCTCAAGAGCTCTTCTTGCTGAATTAGCCTGAAAACTATTTTAAAGTAAAGAAATATTATCATTACATTTTACTCTTTCGATAAAGCCCTTTTTAAAACGTATTTTGGCAAGTCTTGGAGTGATTGCACTTTGAAGCAACCAAATCACATTTTGAGCTTTTTTATATTTTACCTAGTTCTGAAATGTTATTTGTCCATCTAGACAAAACCTAAAAATAGGAATGGAGTACCGAAGTGTGACGTCATCAAAAATGTATTTTTAGAATTTCTGAATTTTGATCACCGAATCTAAAAGAGTGAAACAAAATACCTCTAAATGTGCAAAATCAGGTAGGTATGTTCAAAAAATGGGGCGAGATATGGCCAATGAAAGATTTCAAGTTTGCCAACGGATTACTGTTATTGTGGCCTGGTTCATAAAGTTATGAACCAAGACCAAATTACAGAGGTTTGATGGGGGAAGAGCCTATGCTTATGTGGCCATATCTCAGCCAATTTGTAAAACATTCAATTGATTTTGCACCTAGAGTTATTTCATAAGCTCTTTTGGGATATATAGTCAAAATTGGAAAATTATTAAAATAGTGTTTTGGGACGTCATCACTTCGGTACTCTATGTCATTTACAGGGACGTAAACAAGTGGCTAATTTTGGGGGGTCGTGGAAGGTTAAAAATTCCAACTTAACCTGATGAATTTTTTCTTTCGACCTGTTAATCTTTTGTACCTACTAAATTGATTTTTGGTAATAGCCTTATGGCTTATTGCAGACTTTTAGGTTCTGTATAATTACCAACATTTTACTTATAATAGTTAGTCTTAAGCATAAAAGCACTAAAGAAGATAAAGGAAATCTCTAAATTTTGATTAACGTAAAACGTAAATTTAATCTTTTCGTAAGACGTAAAGCAACATCAAAGCCATACCAGTCTAGATCTTGGATATGTTTAGCGAAAAAAAGTAATATTTTTTCAAGTCAATTAACAGCAATTCTGTTCTTTTTCTGCTTTGCCCATCTTAAAGCTATTTGCTGCAGATCAGCTTTATACAAAATATCTTTTTCACAATATAGAAGCTTCAAAGAATTTACCATTTCATCTTTTGTTCTTTATCGTAGGAAAATTTTTAAAATTTTCAAAGGTCTTAATGTCCTTAGCTTTATGGAACTGAAAAGGGTGATCTGAGGGCAAGTGCATATGCCCGATTCGTAAGATAAAACACTCGTCTTTGATCAAATACTTCTGCTGCTTCTTCTTTGATCAAAGTTTTGTGGCTTCTCATCACCTTTATCAAAGTAATTTGTGATAAGATTTAAGGAGGTCTCCAAAGTGCAGGGGGAGCTTAGCATACACCCGTTAAGAACCGTTGAGAATTTCTAGCAATGAAAGATTTTTAAAAAATCTCACTTTCAATTGTTCTGACCAATACAGGGAATGATTTTTCAAAACTTCAAGCTCAATCAATACTGATGGTAAAATTTAAACTTCTTATCCAGAAATTCACCTTGCCTATTCAAAAAAGTTTAATTCAACTTAACCCCTGTCAAAAAGGAAACAAACGATGCAATGGTGCAATTTGAGATCCAGTGGGGACAGGGCTTCACAATTAAAAACGATTAGAAGATGTGTCTGCTCCAGAGTTTGAATTTTAATAAGGTCTAAGATTTTTACATTGAAAGTCCCAAAATCCTAAGCTATAAAATTCACATATCAGAAAAAATTCCAAGTGAACTTTTAAGCTTTCCAACTGCAATTGGATTTTCCAACCTTTGGGGGGGGGGGGCGTCACGTCCCCACATCCCCTATTATTTACGTGCCTGGTCATTTTCCAATGCAAGTGAACGATGCCCCTCCTGATTTTCCTTCACTAGAATTTGCATAATTTTATAGAAATGAACCATCAACATAAACTAGAATTGGCCTAAGATTTGCCTTTAAACGACCTCAAAAATCTCCCGGGTTTTACCAAATAAACCTGAAATAAAAGGTCACTTGCAAGCCTCAATCCTACAAATTGGTGATGTTGTAACATGAAGTATTTGGAAAGAGACAACGACGGCGGGAAATAATTTAATCATGGTACCATTATGAAATAAACTCGAAAAAGAATCGAAAGCATCATAACTGTTGAAAATGGAAGCTACCAAGGTTTGGACAATGTTACCTAATTTACTGAATTCGTCATAATCTATAAGATTGTTCATTTTTTTGAACATGTCTGTTATTATATTTTCATGATCATTAAAGGGGCCTAAATTATAGAAAGTCTTCTAATGTTTAAAACAAAGACCATTAACTTGATGATAAATTTAATGAAAGTTACTTTTTACCGGTTTATGGTAAAGTGTTCGATGTCGCATAGGAAGAGCTGTAACTGTTGCCTGCTGATGCCGTGAAACTCTGAGTAGCAACTTAGATGGCGTTTAGTTGATTGGTTTATGGATCAGCCTGAAAGAAAGTGAGGCTATTTTGCCGAGATTGTGGATGTGCCACCGCTCTGTTATTTTATTTCTTAATGGGCAAAGTATTTGTCAATTTGTCTCACAATATGTGCACAGCAATATTTCTGCAAATGCGCCCCACTCTGAGACCCCCCTTCTTCTAACCATAAAACGCTTTAAGATTTCATTGAGTAACCTTAAGCTGTGCCTCATATTACATTCAATGCATTTACTTGCTAGAGCTTTTCAAATCAGGAGGAGAGTATCATCTAGAGAAACTCAACCTGCTCACAAAATGCACATAGCAAAAGTGGTACATTTTCTCTAATTTAATTATAGATTGCAACTTTTTCAACTTGTGACAATCAGATAGTTCTGATGCTGTTAATGTTGTTTTGTGAATACTGAAATCTCATTTCATCAGCATTTCATCATCATTATTGTTTAGATCAAGATAGGAAAGCAACATTTATAAAAAGGGTGGTCCTTAAAAATTTTCCAGTACCCAGAAAAATGTGTGTGCAGCCCTATGTTTTAGTGTGCATTAGACAAGCCTCTGAAAATTTATTGTGTGTGCACATGCCACACTCTGCAAACTGGCCTGAGAGGTTAGCAGGTTAAGCATTTGGAAACAAGAATTTCACTTAAATGCGAGTGTGCATTTTGTTTGACATTTTAGGTGGTGGTGGCAAGGAATAGTGTTTATTTCCAGAATAAGTGTAGACTGGCTAAATTTTTGTAATGAAGTCTTAAAATAGACTATGAAGTTGGAAAAATATGGCTGGCTGGCAGGCTGGATACAGATGTTTTTATTAAGTGTGTTTTTTTCTCGACAAGTGTTTCTCTCTAAAAAAAGAGAAAGCTAGTTTAGAAAAAAGTATCTGTCCAAGCATATCACCATGTCTGTTAACGCCAAGGTAAAGATTTTGACCTTGTAAGATTCTGTTCAGACTAACCCTCAATGTATCCCTGCTCATTTCTTATCTTGCAATGGTCCTTGGCATAGGGTCTGTAAACAAAATAACTCTCAAACAGTATTCTATTTTATCTGATGTTTCAGGTCTTCAGATTATCCCATTTGGAGCTAACTCTTCTTTGGGAAATCTCATGACACTTTGGGAAGCTGTGATAAACTGGCATATGTATTCTCAAATATGATGTTTTTTTTAGTATAATTTTCCTATATTGAACATACACTAAAATTGGTCACTCCTGATGAATATTGTTATAGGAAAAGTCAAGAAGGCTGTCTTCAGATATACTTGTTGGTCCAAGCCTCCCGCCATTTGTGGAAGGCCAACTTAGATGCTTTCTCCATGTAAGTGTTGGTGAAGTGAAGTGGATGTCCAGAATAAAGCCACCTAGCCAAGTGCACATCAGTTTTAAATGGTGGGGACAACAAAGCAACAACATACTATTAGAGTAAGTTTTTAAATTACTAGTTGCCAGTGTGTGTTTTATTTTCAACTTGTTCATATAATGCAACTTGATAATAAATCTAAATTTTGATAATTTGTGACTGAAGAAAAAGAAAACTTGTCTAAACTTGGCATTATCTGAATCACAAATTCTAAATATCTCAAAATTGGCAAATTATTTGATATTTAAGACACAGAGAGTTCATTACAAAAATAAAGCAACTGCCAAAGATTACAGAAGAGGAGTCAACAAAGGGCATCTTTAATTTACGTAGTTTTGCAGCTTCAATTTAAATTTTGGTTTAGAATGTAACTTCCAATGTTAGTTGTATCACCATTGTTATTTCCTCAGACCAAAAAGTACTGGAAGCTACAAAACCCCAAAAGCTAAATGTGCTGTTAAGTATCCAATCAGATCTGGACCAAAGCAGTTCAGTGCTTATCTTAAAGGTACATTTTAAGAAAAGTCAAACAAGTAGCTGTAATTTAATTGAAGTAGTAGAAGGAGTGTACCCAGAACAAGAACAATCTTACAAAGGAATCATACTTTTATAGATAATGTGAAAATTGCTGTGTTCTCTTTAGCATGTACAGTGCAACCTCCCATCTCTCAACAGTGGGCAGATCATTTTTTCCCAATTGGTCAAAATGCTCTTAAAGGAGCGTCTGTAGAAGGGACAGCAAAATACATTAGATAACTGTACCGGTCCAATTGTTGTCTGTTAAATTGAGGCTCCATGGTAGTTTTTCCCAGAGTAAGCAGCAAATCAATTATAATTTGTATCATACTTAGCTAAGTTATATCTATTGACTTCTACCATTTGACTTGTACCTTGCTAAAAGTTCTAAGTAGCCTTAAAAATGTGACAGGCATTGTTAGGTAGAAATAGTTATTGAATAAGTTTATATATTTAAATTATATCTTATAGCATATAGAGTTTAATTTATAGAATTATAGAATTTCATTCTCACTTTGAGGAATAAAATGTTGCATTTTTTCTACTTGAACTGTTACATATTAACAAAGTTTTAATAATATTTGAACCTCTGCAGATATGGGTTCTCTCAACCTGGATGTTCTAGCAAATAAACAAATGATTGGCCAAGCACAAATAAACAATATTGGGCTCTTATGCAACAGCAGACCACTTCAAGGGTGATCATTTTATCTTTATTTTTATTTCATGATTGTATCAATAGTTTTTTACACTTTACAAAATATAGATTGTTTGTTTCAGCTTAAGTGAGCAATTTTCTAACTATTTTACATACACTTGAACTCAATGCTCAACTTAATGGATTTGTTTTGCATCAAAATCCATAATTATATGCACTCTTTCCTCAGGTTCTACCCAGTAATCTCAGTAATTGATGATTCACTTCAAAAAGAAATTGCCTCAATCTTTGTTTCTTTGGCTTTTCATTCTGTTGCCAGTAAGTTATAAATTCAGTTAAAAATATCTTCAATAAAAATTCAAATTATTTTTCATGTAAAATTTGGAAAAAGTTTTTGGAAATTAGGCATTATTCCTTTGGGAATTAGTTTTTAGTATACCTTATTAATTGCATGCATTAAATAGCAAAAGCACTGTTAGCTTGTATCAGGCCTGGCCATTCTAGGCCAACCATAGCTCGTGTTCACCTCCATGCTGCCCTCACAGCCTGAGATCTGTCGTGAATTGCTCTCCTAAACATAGAATAAATAACATAGAATAAATCAGGCTACATGTACAATTCTGCTTAATATATACTTAGACAGGAGCCCTTTTAGCCCAATTATTCATATGAAGATGGAATGGTTAAAATATGAGATGTGTCAAAGAAATTATTGCTTGCATGTTCTAGAAGTTATTGATAAGATTTATTTATGTCATAACCAGGCAGTTTTAACATGACCTCCTCAACAATTCCAACCACTGATATGTCAAGTCCTCAGCCTAAAACCTCAAGAGAATCTTCCAAGCAGGCAAAGCATTATAAAAAGGAAAAGGGAGATGCTATTTCTACAGGCAAAATTGTCAGTAAGAAAAAACAAAAGGTTTGTTATGTTGCTTCAATTTCTCTACTGATTGCAATGTCAGTAAAAGCTCACATCATATTTCTGTTCTTCACAAATCAAACATTATGTCAGAAATGTCTTTAGTCCAAAAATATTTCCTTTCTTAAGCAAGTTCCTGTTGCTAAAACATTATGTTAACCTAAAAGGAAAACCTATCAGAAATAAGAGAATTACTGCATAAATAACACAGGCTATTCAAAGGTCCTATTATAAAAACACAGCATAACAAACAAAATAATCAATCGGTTCATTTTTAGACATTGAATCGCAGTTGAACAAAAACATTTAGTTATCTTACAAAAAGATTTTTTGTCTGACACTTTTCACAGTACATCCGAAAAATGATAAAAAATTACAAAAGTTTGAAGATTAGGACTTTCATATTAAGCTCGACCCCGAAACTTTAACATTGTAATGTAAAAGTTTATTCCCCACTGATTTAAGCATATTATACTATGTCTTGATGGGAGAGATCCTATACATGATGTTTTCAATTTCAATTGAAAATGTCGTTGTTCAAAGCGACATATGTCTCTATATTTTAGGAAGTAAAAATATCATCAGCTCCTCCCGAGAAGATTGAATACAGCGATCAAAGTATTGATGATAATTTCCCAAGTTTTGTTGTTGGCCCTGGGAAAATTAGCTCAACCAGCGACCAAATAAATACTGGTCCTCCTAGAGGTAAGTCGGAGTTTTCGGAAAACTTCGAGTCATTTCTCTTGGCCCGAGTGTACCTTTTACCTCATATATTAGTGCATGTTTCTTTAACCGAAAGCTCACCATTTTGCAGATTTTTGAATCGACTAGCCCAGAGCATAAAGGCGCATACTCCTTGAAAACTTTTTTTGTCTAATTTTGTGACCGATGGACAAAACCTTTATTGAAATAAAGCATAAAAGAGCATAAAACCTGGTACATAATTTTTATGAACTTTCCAGGATGTCATTTTCAATGACATTCTGGCCATTCCTCTCCCTTTGTTGGTGAAACACGTATTTGTCTGAGAGACCAAATTAATATCAACTTGGAAGGGGGGGGGGGGACGTCTGAGAAGGCTTTAGCCCCCCTAGATAATACTCTACAAGAATAACATTGCAGTTGGTTTTTTGCCTGTTTAGGCCCCCCAAAGGTTTAAGCCTCTCTTAATTTGAATATGGCCGTGGTCCTTCATATCAACTATAGAAATGCTGTTAATTTGGTCAGAGTTGACAAAGCTGTTAGAAGTTTCTAAAGACATATGTCACATTACTGCAGATTTGTTCTTCTAAGTAGGAAACTTCAATCAAAGGGTCTCCAAATATTTATTAGATACGAGGACCAAGCGAGTGTCTCAACAAAATAGAGACCGAAATTGCAGAATATTCATAAAGAAACTGTGATATAGAAACGTAGAAATAACCAAAGGTTATGGCTAATCGTTGAGATATCGAAAGGCCTGTGCCATTCATAAATTGTAAGCAAAATTCAGCACGTAGAAAGTGTCAATAACTGATTAAATGCAAACCAATAAAATTGATTTGCATAGTTATAAATGTTGCAAAATTGTAAAGGTATGGAACGTGCTGAATGTTATTAATTTTGTAACGGAAGAAGGGTTAATTTTCCTAGATCATTCGATCTTGTCTGAGCATTGAAAATTCAGTAGTACAGGCCATGCTGGGAATAAAATGGCAGGGGTGCAATGAATCGCACTCCTTGTGGTGCCAAGGCGTGCAATGGTGTGCTATTGCACCAAAGTACTTAATAATACAGTCAGCTGTATAAGGACTAGACTACATAACTTTATCATAAGAAAACATAAGCAAGGCTAGTCCAATCAATACATTTTATCAAACAAGCTTTATTAACGTCAAACCCAACATACTAAAGAGAAAAACATTACCAATAAGGTAGGTTAATTAATATGTAATCCTGCAGTTTATAAACCCTTCTAGTCTGCTTCTCCTGACAATCTCGTTCTCAAAATTTAAGAATTCTAACTGTGTTTTCACCATAAAGAAAACTTATCTGTTGACTAGTGTTAGAATGAATTTAATGGTTAATTGCACGTTTATATTTTGTAAGAAAGCTACGGTAGCTAAATCCTCACAATTCAAAGTCTCTTAATTTTGGAACATTTTTGCCCACATTTTATTAGTAAAAGTTTCTAAAATGTTTTGTATTTGCATACAGATTAGAAAAATGCACAGAAAGTAAACTGTATATAGAGGAATTGTGAGTCCTGAGAAAACGGGATTTTACTGATCGCACTTGCAAGATACACTCGTAAACCACAGTGTAATCCGGTTCAAATCATTTAAAGCTTAAAGATCAATAAGCCTGTCTAAATAAACAAAGCCTTACATGTGCCATGGGGTTGTAACTACAGTGGAATCCCAATATAACGAACTCTGAAGGGAACCAGAAAATATTTCGTATATCGGAAGTTTGTTAAACCGAGAGATAACGTTTTTTGGGGGTCCTTTCGCAGTTCACGCCTAAAAAACCTGTTGTGGGCTTGTTTAGGCTATCTCCAACCTCTGTGCACATGTACAGCCATACATGTACCATTTAACTCAAAAAAACCAATCTGAATTCAAATAATACAACTGGCTGGTCATTGAAAATGAAAATCTTAATGTTCCTTTTATAACTTGGGACCAAGAGATTGGCAAAGCTGGTATCACTTCGCTCCTAGTTGGTGCCTGAATGATGTCTTCAATTACTTCACATTCTTATTTGTCTTTTTCTGCTTCTCCATCTGGGTCTCTCAATAAAGTTTTGTCGTCTCTCATTGCCAATGTCTCATATGTAAAAAGGTATTCAGTAGTGTCAATGTACTCATTTGCAGTAATTTCTGACGCAATCAAACTTTCATCTCGTGGTCTGAGTCTATCAGCCAGTACTTGAAATGTATCATCGGCATGTTTTGCCGATTATAACAATGATTTCTCCCCAAGAGAAAGTGATAAATAAACACCGAAAATAAATAAACAAAAATAACAGATGAAAAATTTATAAAAATTCGTTATATCAAGGGTAATTATGATGAAGGGACCTAAAAATGGTTCGTGATAACGAGAGTTCGTTATATCCGGGGTTTGTTATACCGAGAGAATTTGTAAGGAGTTTGTTACGCAGAATCCAAGGGACCAGGCATTTAGTTTGTTATACCGGGAAGTTCGTTATATCCGGGGTTCCTTATATCGTGATTCCACTGCAGTTATTGCAAATGAGACAAGCGACCACAACTGCAAAGCAAGGATTATCGGCCTAAAAGGTCGAGCGATTTTCAGACCTCAACTCAAAACTTTGATAAAAAAATTATGGAAATCTTCGTTTACAGGAGTTTTTCGCCACTTTCAAAACTTCTGTTAGTTTTAGACATGGTATCATTGTGTGCCTTGAAAGTCCGGCTACTAGAATCTGAAGAAATTGAGAAGTGGATGTTTTCATCCAGAAAATGTTTACCATAACTTTAAGCAAATTAGAATATTCGCCAAATTTTTCGTCAAGTAGAAATCAAATAGAAACGATTGCGTGATTATCACCTTTCGTTCATAGTTGAATTATGATAAAAAAATTACATTGGGCCATACTGGTCACTTTAGAATAAAGTGTTCAGATTATTTAAGGCGTGCGATAAACTGCACTTCTGAGCAACGGAAGGCGTGTGCCAAGGCGTGGGCGTGCGATCGCACGCCATTCCCAGCATGGCCTGGTAGTATAGTTACTGTTACACTGTTTATGGAAGCTGCTACAGGGTGCAATTTAAAATTCCTAAAAAATTACGTTCTGGTACTCAAAGCTTTGATTTAACAATTTGGTAGTTTGCAACAATCCAAGCACAAATCTTTCTGTATACAGGATCTTCACAGCGTGACTTAGGCCATTATCAGCCGTCTCCGGGACACAATGCAGATAGAAAGATACATTTAGATAAGAAAAGTCCAGTATCAAAGGACCTCGACGGACCAGGTCTGCTCCATGACCTGATAGAACGTGGAAAGACCCTCAGGAACAAAATGCTGCTTTCTTCATTAGACAGCCCTGATCAAGTTCATCATGATGGAAAGTAAGATTTTCAGGTCTTAGTTCAGACCCGTTCAGGTCTTGTTAAAAATGTTTTCAATTATAATATTCGATTGTAACTTACAAGATACATCTAAACTTACCTCTATTAAATAAGCAACGTAATAATTAGAGTTTTTTATGTATCTGTTTTTGTGAATATATTTTTTTATGTAAATATATGAGAAAAGTATTTTGCCTTTTGTAAACAAAAAAGTTCAATTTTTATTAGATTTTTTATATTGGCATTTCATTTTTAGTGACCAGTTCTAAATTAGATTATAGAAAAAATCAAGCAATTATGATAGGATGCCAGTTGAGTCTGCTTTGGACTTTTTAAGGGGAGAGATCTTTGCAAGATTTGTTTTGATGTTGTTGATAGATGAATAAAAAATATTTCATGTTTTTTTAATCTATCAATCTAATCTGATCATCTTTGACAATATATCGAATCTTGGATCCTATTTTGGAAATTATTTTTGGTATTTTATACGATAGAGCGACAAGCAGCCATGTTGAAGGCAATCTTATCAAGGAAATTCTTCATCAAATTGACGATGACGTCATTTTGAATTCAGAAGATCACTCGAAAGAAGAATATTCAATGGACAAAAAGTTGGTAGAGATGGTAACCGGGGAAGATGAGCTGAACATAGAAAGACTGATGAAAAAGTTAGAGCATGATTCAGAGGGAAGTCTGAATGAAGAGTTTAGTGATAGCGAGGATCCGATACGGGAAGCTTCATTGCTAACTGATTTGTTTTACAATGCCAAGCTGGTAAGTAATAATTATCAGGGGGTTTTAATTTTATCAAAACGATTAAGGATTGGGATGTTGTTTTGTTGTTGTTATTTTGCGAGCGAAGATCTTTCAATCATTGCAGCAGCCCTCCATCTCAGAGAGCACGCGTAATAATAAATTCGTTCCATACTCAGGCTATCCATGCCCATGCTCTTTGACTCCTCACTCAGTAAACTGACGGGAGACTCTGAGTCGGGAGGCTGCCTCACTCAATAAAATAATTTCTCTTGTTCATGTCTCCAACATGGGTAGGGATGAGAATGAGGATGATGTCTGATTCTTTTTGTTAATTCTGAGTCACGGCTATAAATGAAAACTTTAAAGGATTGAGTTGTTTTTTAATTAGTCTTTTAACGGTTGATACCGCCAAAAAGAAGTAATTTCATGCCATTAATGCAGTTACATTGCCTGTCTAAGATTTTACTGGTAATGAGATCCAAAATTGTATCAGCTTATGTTTATCAATATTTCAGTTTCTACCTTAGGTCCATATTTACCAAAACAAAATTTTACTCATTTCCCTTTGATAGTTTGAACATTTTTGCTTAACAATTTACTTTACTCCAAATTTTCAAGAATTCATCCGAAGAAAGCTCTGTTGTTCTCAGTGATGATTCCGACGATGGGAAATCAAAGCCGAGACGTGAATCATTCTCGTTAGAAGACCAAGGAAACAAGGTATTCTGTTTTTATGATTATAAGCCATTTTCTACAGAGATATCGTGAACAAAGAGTAAACGAGTCAAGCTTAATTGTGATAATCTAAGTGAGACTGAGAGGGTTTTTTGTTTTGACTTGAGCCACTGCCCGAATGCAAATTTTGCAAAAAACGATATCCACAAACGGGTCTACACATTTCCTAATCTAGAGTTTTCGATCAATATTCTGACGTTTTGACGACAAAAATTGTATGTATGTTTCAGAATGTTTGCTTTTTTCAAAGCCATTGTTTAAATACTATGCCGCCAAAGAATTGTATGATAGTAAATAAACTTTATAGTTTTTATTTTATTTATCAACGATTAAAAGGCATTTTCTTCTCCTTTTAGAGGCCAAAAAAGTCAAAGAAACAAAAGAGGCTGCATAAGTCTAAATCTGAAAAGAAAGGCAAACCTGTCGATGATTTGCCTGGTTCAGGAAACAGTATGAATGACGAAGATAACAACAGCATGACATACATCAATCCAATTTCTAATGCCAGCCAAGATGGTATGTCGCGAGGGTTAATGTCATATTTAAATTGTTTAACAATGGCTGTGGATAACAACGTTTTACATTGGCACTTACATCTTTGAACTGGAAACGTACTCAGATATTTTGCATTGATAAATTACCAGATTGTTTTTATCTAAGACACGTTATGAATGCAATATTTTGCATAGATGCAAACTTTGCTTACTCTCTTTATTTTAATTTATTGCGCACAGAAAGTACGATAAAGCTAGGACCGAAAAGGATTCATACCTTCCTTCTTTCCATGCTTATTCTATCGCTTTTAAGACTGATGGTTGATTTGAATCATTGAATGATAGCAAACAACTCGGCACTGATAATAGTTTTGTTAATAAAAAAAATTTACGATTTAGTTCAGTTACACTTGTATCACTTTCAGAATCGACTCAATTGCCCGAAGATAACAAAGATGAACCAGATAATATTTTTGCAAAGAAGATCGAAAGGCTTATTCCAGAAGGAATGGACTTGGACACAATAACAATTTTGGCAAGGGCTCGTTTTGCTAGAGTTATTGTGCATAAGCTCGATGTAAAAAGCAATGACATCGAACCAAACAACTGGTAAGGAGCCATTTCCAATCGTGGGTTGACTTCCAATCCAATTGAACCCAGTCAATTAACTAGTTGATATCTCCCTGCAAAACTAATTGACTTCATCCTCAGGTGCTGTATAGTGCTTCTTTGAATAGTTTTTTGTAGTGTGATTGAAAGAATTATGTTGCGAGCAGTCGTCTGTTGGTGCCCACAAGGTTTTGCAACTGTGTCTAGAATTATAATACATTTCCTGTACATGATTTCGTTTGGATTTTGATCATTTTTTGCTGTTGCTTTTAATGCTATTAACTGTCGAACACAGTTGCTATTATTCATTGTTTTTTGAGCCTCGTCAATCATTTAAAGAAAATCGAAATCACATTAGCGGAACATGCATTTTAAACTGCTGTTGATTTTCACAACACCTGACATGTCATTTTATCGAAGTTTCCTTCCAACCTATTCTAAATTGAACTGACTCATCACATCAAATTTGCTTCCCTTGCACGCTGCACAAAAAGACGGAGGTATCAACTCGACTAGATTTTAATATCTTCAATAGATTTGTTCCTATCTCAAAACATCGGTTCTTTCGCAACTTTACTATTTCACCTGTAAAAGTATAACATGAGAAGGATTATCACTATGTCAATAGCAATCCAACCAGAATTTCCCCTTGATTTATCATGACATCATATTTGAATATATACCTTTTTGTTTGCAGCACTTTCTTTATTGAATATGAATTCCCTTTTCACTCACGGGAATCGACTGCCAACTATCCAGCGTACAACGAAGTGATAAGATGTGCATCTAACAAAGTAGTCGAAAAGAGTATGTCCAAGATCTGTCCGTAATATCATCATTTTTGATAAAACTTTCGTATGAAGTTTGCATTGTAAATTGATATGTATTTAAGGCATGCAGTAGTACTTATATTTGCTACCTAGCAGGTAGTTTTAAGGACACTAGGAACCTGTACTTATCGATCAGTGTCCTGGTCTTTCCTCTCGATTTGACCACACCTTAGGATTCTTACCCTTAGAAATACAGAGAGCCGGCGACTCTCCTCACTCTGGTTGAAAGTTTAGTCTTACCGGTTCACCCAGCCTTTGATTATCATCGATTATCCAAACCGGGTAAAGACAGTCTCATCAACTTTTGTTCCTATAAGGCAGAAGTTTGGGTATTAGAAGAAATGTTGCCCTTCTTAATTGCGTAACTTTCTTCATTGAGCAAGTTTTTGCTTTACGATATATGGATATGTATATTCCACGAGGCATCAGTTTTAGCATATTTTAATGTGTTAGCATATTTTTGTTTAGCTGACGATAAGTATCAAATAATAATACAGTTTAAAATGTTCATCTTAAGCAATGAAAGTAATTTATGTCCTCTTTACCAGTATTTATTTTTTGCTACAAGCCGCTCAGGTATAGATGTGGCTCGTTTTTCACTGACGGTGGCAAACAAAATTTCAAAAAATTAAGTCAGTCATAAATTTGATGTTTTAACCTCCTTCGGGTGTAAGTGAGGCTCGGATCATCGCGACTCGAAGAATCGAGGCTAAGTAAGTCGATGATGTGCTGAATATGCTTGTGATATTATTTGTCTAGGATACAACAGATTGTAAAGGTTTATTTACTGTGTGGATAGTCCCTTTTAATCAATTTCTTTCTATTTTGATACATTGTGTTTGCAGCATCTAACTCATTCAGCTTGATCACAATCCTAATATCAATGTACTTTTCATAGGTGTAGTCTTCAATCACAGATCTGTATTCCCGGTGCACTTTGACGGACCCACTCTCACCAAGTGGTGGGACAAGCGAATCACTTTCAAAGTATTCTCTCGGGGGCGCTCCTCCGCGTCGGTAAATAGAATTTCTCTCTTATCTTTCATATTCACGGAGACAGGAGAAAATAGACACTTTTCATTATCATGTTACGGTGACAGAAAATTGGCCCTTATAACTCTATCTACCAGAATAATATTTGCAGACAAATATCATTTTTTCGTAATATTTTTCATTCAATTTTGCTGCGTTGTTCTGCTTTGAAACCTCTGATGTCCGATCCTATTGTCTTAGATGAAAGTGTTACATTGTAAGGTCTATGTTGTATGACATCAAATATGTCTTCTTTTTAACCCTTCTCCATGTATATTACCTATAATCCTATGAAATTTCCTCAGCTATTTATGCATTGGTTTGCCGCCTAGTGATAAAAATGTTTTTGAGATAAAAAGGGCTCTGCAATCAACTTAAAAATGCACATTGTGACGGAGAAATGTATGGAGGCTATGTTTCTGGGGGATGCTATTGTACTATTGGCTACAGTGGAATCCCCTTAAATCGCACCCTAGATAACTTGGACTTCTACTACATAGGAACAATTTTCAATTACTAAGTGGACACTCCTACCCTACTACTGTCAAAAGTTGTACCCCGGATCAGTCGAAATTCGCTAAGTCAGCCATATCCTTACATTCATTAAAGGTCCGACTTAATGGGATTCAACTGTGATGCCAAAATAAGTCAACTGCGTTGTTTGATAAGAGGAAATGTGAACAGTTTTTTTGGCGGTACAGAACTTGAATAGCTTTGAAAAAAGCAACCATTTTACAACATATTGGTTAAAAGCTTTTTCTTCTGACACTCTTCAGAGCATAAAACGTCAGAATAGGGGTCCGAACGAACACGATGAAAAATATATACCTAGTTGTGGATCGAAATAGGCCAATCAGAAAAACGCAAGCACAAGACCAGTATGTTGTAAAATGATTGCTTTTTTCAAAGCCATTTTATAAGAGGAAATGAGAGTTATCGGTTGCTTAAACTTTGAAATCACCTATTTTAGCCTTGAATTTGTTAGGACACTAGACTCATTTTTTATAAGAAACAAAGGTCGATTTTGAGTACTCCAGTTTCCTAATGTTCAGGAAATTTCAATACTCGTTGTTTCTTAAGAGTTCCTTAATTATAATGTCATGAATGATGTTATGAAATACTTGTGACCTTTTTTCCACGTCAAGAGTTTCGCTTCCGTTCTAACGCTGTATTTAGACGTGTGAAGTATATTTTTATCCCTTGTGTCTTAATTTCTAGGCCATCAGGGCAATCATGTTCTTGGATTTTATAAAATTTCATTGTTCTCAGTTTTATCACGATTTAATAGTTTCTTATTTTTTGCTTCGAGTACTAAAATTTCTTAATTTTTTCTGACTGTCTAGTACCTGTTTCTTATAGCCAGTTTCTTATAAAAAATTAGTGTAATTTCTAACTTTGTTTTCATCCAAAACAGCATGTTCTAATCGGTAAACAGTCAGTAGCCTTACGAAGGATCTTGCTTAGTGATGATTTTATCTACCAAGCAAACATCGATGTTGTCGGTGAATCGAATGCACAGAAGGAACGGGACAACGCAAAGTTGATGGATGATGTATTTGGACAATTGGAGGTATAAACCAAATCTCTTTATAAAGACTAAAACTATTTTGGCGATATTTGTTTGTTAGGTCTTTGAGATTTCATCTACAGGCATGGTATAATTTGCATAATTTATCTTAACCTTTTTTTGTTGTTGACGGCTTTGAAAATTCATAGACGACAATCTGGTGAATAGCTAGGCAAGTGCTCATTCCCTTTTCCCGCCTGTATCTCAAAACATTAAAAGCCTTACTGAGGCAACAGGAACGAATGGTGATGTGGGTGATAATCAAATATTCCATTTTTTCAATCCTTCCACTTTTCTAGGCCTGCATTTTAATTTTCTTGTGAAAGTATTGCATTCTTTAGCCTACGAGTTTTATTAGCAGCTCTACTTTTCAAGGATTTATAGTATGAATAGTATGAAATAAACTTACTTTGAAGGTATTACGTTTTTACAGATTAAACCTTTTTTATGTTTAAGCTTTCTATAGAGCTTGGATCTGATAAAGAAGATTTAAAGCATAAAAATCGTGAAATTATAGAAACGATTTCGACTCAGGCAGTTAAACATCAAGGTATCGTAGTCTCCAAGAAGCCAGGAAGAGAAACAGAACAAAGTAAAACTCCATTAATTAGGAATGCCAATTTAAAGGTGAATCAAAATGGAACCACGCAGCGCCAGCTTTATCCTTCAGAAGCAGTCGAGAAACCCTTGCCTTGCGAGAACATTGCACTGCACAGTCTTCTGCTTATTCCAGAAGGTAGAGTTTGTACTGATGGTTTTGAAAGTGGTCTTGCAAAGCCGGTCAATGCTTATTTGGTCTGTAGAATGTTCTGGGATGCATCTGTTGCGAAGAGCAAGGTTTGCTGGAGCACTGTTGACCCGGAATTTCAATTTGTACAGGTGTGACCAAAATGATTTCATTTGCTTTTAAAACACATTTCTCTTCACAGGCACCGTCAAATTGAGTCAAACTATATCTTTCATTTTTCTTCCGAATTTCCGAAATGCAAAGTCATATTTTTTCAATTTCCTTTATTCGTTGGAGATTTCTTTTGAAAATAGACGATGCTAGAGCTCTTAAATGGATTAAGAAAAACGTCCACTTTTCCGAATGCAAAGAAGGACATGTAATCACATTTGAAGTCGATGGTGCCAGAAATAAAGTTCTAAATGTTTTTGTAATCCTAAATTTGCTGCAAGTCGATCATAATTCAATTCTTATCTACATTCTAGACTATTCCGTTGATGCTAAACTCACAGTTACTTGACCGAGCTAAGGACAATTTTATGGTCGTCGAAATATGGAACAAATCATTGACTGCTGATGATGACATGGTCAGAATAATACTATTTGTGATTTTTTCTTTATCTCTCTTGTGTCATTGCATCATGCCAATTACTGTCACAGGGTTTTATCTGAAGTGATGTTTTCTATAACGTAAGCATTATAAAGAGACAATTTCACTAGCTCCCTTCTATTCCGGTGCGGTACTTTCGTGTGTTTATACTGAAAAGATCTATAGCGTTTTTCAAATCGTCCCAAAGTTTCCTTTGTTGCTGGTAAGAAAGAAAATAATTAATCTTATATACAACGGCTCAACCTTAAAGTTGAAACCTTTTCAAAATGTTTTGACGTCTACATTGACTTTCAAAATGTGTGAGAATTTTTCAAAGTTAACTTCAAACATGTGAAACATTTTAAAATTGTGCTAATTGTATCGCTGTTTTAGGTTGATCATAAACCTTTATCCTTGTTTACGCCCTATTGAATAAACCCAATTAAAAACATCCCAAGTCAATAAGCCACCATATGGCTAGTAGGAGGATTTATCGTACAGAGTACCTTGAGTTAAATGTTGTACACAAACTCTTTCATTCGATATTTTCTAAGAATGTTATTGATAGTTTTCGTCACATGAAATGTTGATGCTTTAAAGATATGTTTAATATGTTTAGCGTACCTGATGCTATGTTTTATTGACTTTTTAAGGTGATTGGCATCGTAAAGTTGTCTCTCCATCCATTTTATTTATCATTCAAAGACCGAGGAATTGTAAAGACTCTTCTCAAATCACAGGTACCCTTCTATTTCTATATTAAGACAATCCTTAGTCGAAGTCAATTTGTTGAACCCAGCGTAATTACAGGGTTTGTTGTTATTCAGCACGAGGCGTTTCCCTTAAGTGAAAGTCTTGGTATCCTGCTTCTTTTCTTTCCATTTCGGGAAAATTAACTAAAGAACGTCTACACACATATACAATATTGTTTTGCACACTGTCACGTTAGATGAATGAAACAATATTAACTCTAAAGATGTTTGGTATTTGAAAAGACGTCACAGTTTGTGAAACTAGAGATGACCAGCCATTAATATATGTTAAAACCATAAAAAATAAAGTAGTTGAATGTGTGGTCGCTACAAGACTGGTATTTATAATGATAGAATAATGATTTTACCTTAGAAAACAATTAACAATAAAGAGAGTCACTTTTATGGTAGACTTAAATTGACAAGGATAGGTACTGTTTCTAGACATTTTTTTAAAATTCTGATCTAATATTAAATAAGCAATTAGAAAATCAGTATTGATCTAATATTAACCTTCAAATGTTGTATCATATACTGGGTGTTATTTTACATACTTAGTTGTTAATGTGTACCTTATTCTACATTAGTACCCTGTGGTAGCCGCTGATGGGTTTATCCAAATAAAGAACCTGTTCTCAGGTGCAGACAGCGGACGGCTACAAGTATTACTTGCAATGGGGACTCGGGAACAGGTACTGTGTCTTTTAGCGCTCCAGCATATAAAAGTTTGTTACTTGAGCTCTATGCTTCTTTTAAAACTTTGACAAAAAGCCATATGAAAAGCCATCACAGTAAATCTCTTGTTTCCCTCTTTCTATCTCAAGTTGAAATTGACGATGAATTAAAAATTACGGACTAGTTTAAGACTCTGATTTTACGACAGTTACGTAAGTTTACATCAATTGAATTATGGACTTCTTTGCCACTTCGATTTTACGACAGTTGCTGCAGTTTACGGCAGTTTACGTTTAATGCTCGGAAAATGCAGGAGGTGCCGTTCCCTGATTCTGAAACATGCTCTTGTTCGCTACTCATCTTAAATAGATTTCCTCGTTGTTTTTAGATAGCAAACTTGTTAAAGATGAAGAAAGGATCATATTCTAAGTCGATAGATGCACAAGGAATATTACAGTAGGTTTCAGAATGAATTGGTAATACAATCCGTCTTCTTTGCAAACTGTCTTGGACAAACTTAACATCCTTTTACTTTCCATTTCTTGCTCGTTTGCTTGTTTTTCTTTACAATTAGCAATTATAAATGTAATTAACTCCTTTCTCTATAATCTGCATGTCTTGAAACTAAATAGTAAACAATTACTTTTTTCGGGATTCACAAATTGTTCCTTTTTTGTTGTGGTTTCAGATGAATTTTCCTATTTATTTTCTTTCTGTTCTTGTATTCTAAAGTATGAGTCAGGAATCTCTTTTGATAAGGGACTATTTAGCCTGCTTATAGATGAAAGTTGGTTAGTGTCTCTTCGCAAAAGCCTTTTCATTCCCACCAAAGCTGTTTGAGTAAGATAATGCTTTGTGAAAGATTCCGAAGCTGCAGTTAATTGAACCCACATTAAATTCAGATAGCTTTTTGAGGGCTCAGCTCTATTGTACATCACGTTTTTTTTGTAAGCAAATTCGTTAGCAAGCAGTTTATTTGTGGAAAAGTACAGTATAGCTCTCAAGTGATTAGGCAAAAATTGTCCTCGCCGACTCTCTTGTCATCATCGTCTTCAATCGCTAGGCCTTTTGGAGATCATGGTGCAGAGGCCGGGTCAGAGATCAAATCAGCGGTCAGATCAGAGGTCGAAAGGCATTCAGAAGAGCAAAGAAACAGTGGTGAGGTCATCTACGTCATTTGAGGTCATTTTCTAACATTTATATTCGCAACCCACAGTGATGTATAACCTCTCTGTTTTTTCACAGAGCTGTCCTTCCTCTGAGAAAAGCGTTATTAAATTTGGAAACTCGTATGAATAGAATTGGGGACGAGAAAAAAACTACAACTGAACTTTGACTGTGCTTCTTCTTGAGAAAACAACAAATCAACTAGATAAGAATATAAAATTAGAAACTTTAATAATAAAAAGATAATGGGAAAATTACTTACTTTTTTTAGTTGATCATATATTTGTGGTATCTGTTGAAAATGCCAAGAATCTTGGTCATTCAAAAGAAGTTGGAAATGCGGACTGTTTTGTGCAGTATCAGTTCCCGGAGCACAAGCACACAAACAAAGGTGATTTGAGTCCGTTTTATTTATATGGCAAAGATATCGTATGCACCCAACAGTGCAAGAACAGGTAACAGAACAATGTCGCTGGTCACAGGCTCGACTTCTGCTCTTGTCGTTTCCTAACTCACATTTTCTCTTGGCATATATCCTTTCATTTAATCTCATTGATTCTAAATCATTTAATATCATTTAATACCAACCAAATATAGAATATTTCAAAGATTCTTTCAAGATAAAAAATATCTTAATTATATATATCCTTCATTATACTACAATAGGCGAAGGGTTAGAGTTTTTCAATTTAATATATGCAACCTAGCCCTTAAAATAGTCTATTTGCAAGAATAAAGCATCTTTGAAGACGTTCGACATGCTTTAGCAAGACCACATCGATCAACTGTAAAGATGATTTGCCATATGACAAATAAATATCATGGAAATTCTTATCAGCTGTAAAATCCAAACTGCTAGGCAAAGAACCATCCCTCCAAAAATCTTACTGGTGTCAATAAAGTGGCTCTATTTCATTTGTTTAAGAAATTTTTCTCGCAAAAACATTCACAGTGATTAATTTTAGACTAGTTATGGAAAATTCTATCAGACTTTTTAACGTTTTACCTTAATTTTCATGCTAAAAATGAGGAATTTTTTTTAATTATGGCTTGAAAATACTTGGATTGTCCTCAGCTGACAGTTTTCTTGAAGTAGTGTTTATAGAAAGAAAACTTTTGCGAATTTCTATTGTTTTGATCTATATCACACCTATCCTTATCTTGTCTTGCTCTAACCCACAGTTAGCAGCCCTGCCTGGCATAAAACCCAAACTACGCTGTTGGTAGAAAACCCTTTGTTTGGTTACTCCAAAAAGCATAACATCACTATACCAGCTGATATGCCTGTGCAGAGTTTTATGTTGAGGTCATTTGAGCATCACACTTCGCTTAAATCAATGGGGATTCCTTTGGAAGTCTGGCAGAGGTCATATTATCCCAACATCAGAGACTGTCTTTTGTACAAAGTAAGTTTAGTCGTTTTTGAAAATGGCTTTGAAAAAGACAAACATTCTGAAACATATTACTAAAGCTTTTTATCTGAAAATTGTCAGAGTATAAAACTTCAGAACATAGATCGAAAACTCTACGCTAGGAAATATATATACCAAGTTGTGGATCGAATTAGGCCAATCAGAAACACGAGCACCTTACTGTTGAGGTTGCCCAATCAGTGCCGGTTTCTTATTGAAATGTAAACTTTAACGATGCCCAGAAGACTACCACAGGGCCCTCCTTTTGATTTGCTTAATCAAATGACATTGCTTTGATTTGAAAGAGAACAGGTTTGTGTTGGTATTAGTGACTGAGACACCCCCTACTAGACGACAATGTGCAAAACGGAATGCATGATAAATCATTTGTTATAAGACTTTTCATTTGTTAAAGTTTGCCTCTCAAACCATTTAATGCAAACGTATTTAACGCAGACCAGCATACCAATGGCAAAGATCTATGCAATGATTACAATGAGGCAGGAGAAAGATGTTTCAATTCAGTCATTCAAGCTTCCACTCACACCTGTCAATATACCTGATAATGGCGACATTTCCCACTCAAAAGCTACATTGAATGTTGGCATCAGTTACCAACAGAGCTCGACTCAGAAGGTTGGATTGATGGACTCCAAAGGTCCTTGTGTTTGCATATCTGTCAGTATTCTAAGGGCATGTGGACTAAAGGTATACTATCCACAAAATTTATGTCACAATTAATAATACCCAATCTATTTCTTCAAGTTTCTTTATTATAATTTATCTCTAGCTGACGAAGCTAATCCTTGCGAACTTCTATTCTAATAAAAATCAAAGCCAATCAAAAGCCTTTTTGTCGATCTGATCATTAGTTTTCTTGCTATCTGTTATATCCATTTTCCGTTTAGTTTAGGTGATATATCGGCTAATATTCACATTGTAGTAAAAAGCTGCATTTATAAAGCAGTCGAGATTATTTCGTTCTTCGGGAACAGTCATTTTAGATTTGTAACAGCTGCTAGAATTATTTATTTTTGTGAATGATGTTTTTTTTTCAAAACGTTGATTTTTTCCTTGTTCAAAAAAATTTAATACTTGATACATATTTTTTGTTTTGAATCATGCATTAAGAAACAATCATAAGATCTTTAAAGAATTAGTGGAGGAATCGAAAGATTCTTAGAATAATTCTGGAAGAGAGGATATGTATCACTGATAGAATAGCAATACTTGTGTAATCTCTTGTTAAATCACCATTATGCTTATTGTTTCTATAATCCATTTGAAGACATCATAATACACGAAAACAGGTAGAAACAAGCCACAAAAAATCCAAGAAGCTTATCCATCATAGGAACAAATCTTGCAAAAAGATACATTTGATCCTAAATAGTACTGCCTACTGCAGGATCTTGTCACTGATGTGTTTTCCTAATCTCTTAGCATTATGATAAAACCTTCTTGGTATGGCCCTGAGGCTTGAAAGGCTTTGAAATAACATCAAAATTTCGCATTTTGCAATGTCTTGCGATTCCATTTTAGATTCCATCTTGGTTCTCTTCCTTTTAAAGTTCTTTACCAGTTTTGCTTGCATTTTCTGGGACAGCAGTTTCAATAATCCTAGCTCCTTTGTTGCCCATTTTCTTCTCAATGTAAACGTCCTGTGTCCTGTCTGCCAGTTCCAACAACCTTGTTGCATTGGATATTAAAGGAGTTTAAACTTATCATTGTACCAGATTTGAATACTCTTTAGCTAATTTGTAGTTGCAAAGATTTTACAATGTAAATTACAGCTATATTTTTCGCTTTTTAGGCAGTTCTGTTCCCACCAAAAAGTCGAGAATCTCGTATGAGAAGTCTTCCAACCTCTGGCTTGAACACATTTGTCAAGATATGGTTATCATTTCTTGGAGTCGAGTCATGCCGTGTTTCCCCGGTCATTGTACGCTCCTTCGCTCCAACATTTTCATTTCACATTGACTTCCCTGTAAATGTCATAGAAGATTTTTTAGATGATGCTGATTATGACGAGGATTCGACTCTAGCATATCACTTGGAAAATGGTTTCGTGGAAGTCGAGATGTTGTAAGTACAGTACGATAATTCTAAACCTTGTCAACTCTAATCACGATGTTTGTCAATTCAATCACGATGAACTCGTACTGTTTTACAATCTTCTTAAGAAATTTCCGAATGCTTTCGAACCCCGGATAGCTTGAACATTGATCAACTCAAACACTTTTCAACGTTTCCTTGAAGTGTCAAGTTATCACATGACAGCATCGTAGGATGACTCTGACTTGCAATTCAGCTTGATGTTTATCTTTTTGCGTTTATCAACTGAACCTTAGTTTAATCGGAATTATCGTGTTTTTTATTAACTGCTCTTTACAATTGTTTGTAGCCATAAGCCACTGAAAAGTGGGTTTATGTCTGAAAAGAATGGTACATCGGAAGACGGTGCATCTGAACTGCTGATCGGGTGTTGCAGAGTTCCACTGCTGGCTCTTTTGTGTCATAACACAGGTATCAAATTCTTTATTGTGCTTCTTTATGCAGATGTTTCTTCATTTTAGAAAGTTTTGTTCAGCTCTATAACTCTGTGTTGACCAAGCTTTTTGCTTTTTTCGCCCTTTGCCAATCTCAGCTTGTTATTCGTCGGGTGTCTAGTTTTCAATTTTTCCGTGACTTTTACTCACTACAGAACTTAAAGATAACATTTATCTGTGAATGTCATTTTAGCGAAGAGAATGTTTACTTCTTTATGAATTTGATGCCATAGATATATTGAAGAGAGGTTTCCATTACTTACATTTGTCTTTTTAGGGGTTTCCCAAAGGTTCTAAAACCTTTTTGTGGAGAAAATTGTAAATTCAAATATAAAATTAAGCTTAACACATGACATCGTTTTGAAGATAATTCAAAATTCCATATTAAATATTTTGACAAACTAATTTTTTTTAACATGTGAACCAATGCTTGAAAGCAATGTTTTAATCAAACAAGTTTGAAATCGTTGACTATACAATTTGTGTATTTTTCTTTTTAGGCATTAAAGGTTGGCATCCAATAAATGTGCCGCGAGCCTATCGCCAAAGTAGGTATCAATCAAAGGGGAAAACTGATGCAGATGAATTCCAGAAGATGATTGGAGGCCTTGAGCTTGCTGTTAAGTTTGGAAAAGAAACAGACCGAGAACTCGTTATAAACACGGCAAGGGGCGCCGGATGGAGTCCTTTAGAATCCATTGAAACACACGAGGAAAGTTTTCAGGACTTTGATCAACGGGGTACAGTTAGCTTGAAGGCTGTTTGGTCGGTAGAGAAACTCTGGGTGCCTGTTGAGGTTATCGAGAAAGTACACATTGCTGACAGGGAAAATTTGAGAATTTATTGCCGTTACAAATTCTATGACAAAGGTATCTGTTTATCTTTTTTCGTTTACTTTATTGATTCTTTTAACTATGACCGTTGGGGGTATATATCAGAGAAAGTGGACGTCTTTGCAAATCGTATCAATTGGGGACTAGTTGTTCTTATCTAAGTTGTTTCATGTAGTGGCATCATGGATGAGATTGGAACCTTGGAAAACTCCTTTGTGATTTTTAAGCTAGTTTCTCAATTACCTTTATATTCACAATTTCTTGTTTAAAACAGCTGCTTTCACATCAAAACTGGTGACGTTGGATGAAACATCTTCCCCAGACATGCTGAGCGCTGACTTGAACCATCTGAAGAGCTACCTAATTTCTGCATCATCTGCTTTGTCTTGGTGGGTACTGTTGAAGTAAACAAGAGAATTGAAAATATTTCCAAATTCTCAGTCATAATAGAATATACCTCATTGTTGCTGAGCTGTATTTCTTTATCATTGAGTAAAGTGTCAAGAAGTGTGTTTATCATTCCTTCTGCTTCTTCCAAATAAAGCAATTAAAACAAAGTATGATATGGGTATGGTAATCTCAACTCTTGTTTTCAATGATCGTTGTCATGGTAGTCATCCGTACAATGCTCACGCTTTTGGACTATGATTGAGTGATTTATAACCATGATGCGGGTGTATTTCTCTAATGTCTAAATCTCTGACGTCGCTATGATGACACAACCACGCCCAGATGTTTGGAATTGTTGGCGGCCAAATGTTTCACAGTTTAGGAGACAAATGTTTTGCAAAATTAGGAGAGCCAAACAAAATCTAGAAAAAAGCCAGATTTTGGAGAAGTAGTTTAAGAAAAAGGGGATTTGCATGTTTCAATAGTTTAAACTTTGTTGCTTTTTTCATCAGTGGTGATCTTGGGACTTTTTAAACGAATTATTGAGCGTCTTTTTCAAAAGTATAAATTTCCTTGAATTTCGTGGTTTTCAACTTGGTAAAGGCCAAAGGTTTTCGCAAAATTGAAACACGCCCTTTTGACTTCATAGCTTCAATTCCATCATGTGTTTCTTTTTTCAATCTCTCTTATAAATTTTTTGTTTATCAATTTCTCAATCTATCGAAATTTTTGCAACTTTTCAATTTTTTCTTTCTTCATTGCTACTATAGGTATTTGAGGGAAGAATTCATTGAATGTCAAATTTGGCTCAAGGCTTTGAGTAAGAAAGACAATATTGTGACTAACAAGTCACGTGATAGGCTGCTTGGCTCTGCTTACATAGACGCGAGTGGCATTGCTAAAAGTTCCACTTTGAAAGGATCTGTGAGGTACGGGTTTGAGTACTTACACTTGTATATGGAAAGGCATTATTGACAATAGAATTTTAAGCAGTGTCTTTAGAATGGTAATCACAAAATTGCACATAGGCTGCAACTAAGATGATAAGGTATTCAGGTTTACCAAACCTCACTCTATTTTTTGTGTGCCCACGTGCAAAGAATTTCCCAAAACCAACACAATATTAAAACTGTTTATGTAAAGTATAAGAACTGTTTACTTCTAGATTAAGTCGAATACACTTTAGTTGCTTTACAACAATCACAGTCACTCAGTTCTATTAACTCCATTATTTATCTTCAAACGTCCCATTTCTCAAAGGATTTTTTATTTATTGCTTTTATTCAGTATATTTTCAAGCTTTTAAATTTTGTCACTTTAAATACTATGCAGTTATATCACATTAATTTACATTTTATTCACGAATATTTTTATTTACCAACATTGTTTGTATTCTTTGTCCATGTTTTTTGTATGTTTTCAATGCACTTTAAAAATCGCTTTTGTGTGGATACTTAATGTCTATTGAACATGAAGCTTTAGCTATAGCCTCCCTAAAGGTCAAAATTTTTCATAATTTTTCAAATGAAAAATTTAGTTCCCTCCCATTCAAAATTTTTCCTCCCACTGCGCATTGATGCTATTCCATAATTCCTTACAGGTAACCTGTTATTAATCTTTGAGCAAAATACAGAACTTCACCACAGCCTGAACACTACAAATTTATACTGTACATCTTTCTGTGTGCCTAATATATAGTAATGGATTTCATTTAATATTTTTCTTATATGTTTATTTTCAGCGGGCTGTATCCCATGTATAAATCTGGGGCAGATTTACTTGGTGGATCCTGTGTCAGGATTTCTTTACGAATAACTGAAGATGGAGAGGAAAATATAGAAGAAACGGTAACTAGCAATGATTCAATCGCTACAAACTATCCAAAGGATGAAGAATCTGATATTTCTAGTATCGTAGAAGATGTCCAAGGAGACAAGCAACAGAAAAGGATGAGAAAAAGAAATGCTACACCTGCACAGGAAGATGAAAGGATTCGAGAAGATATAACGGGCGTTGATTGTCAAATTGTCATAGAAGAGGCACTTCATTTACCATTTGAGACCAATTTACAAGGTTCTAGGTATGTTTCAAGTACATTTTTCAGGGTAATGCAATCTGCAATGAAATTTTATTTTCCTTGATAACCCACAATAAATCATGGAGTAAGAGGTAAACAGCCTAAAGTGGAAGATGTTGGAGACAACTTGGTGTTTACATGTAGAAGATTTATGCTTTTTCAGCTTTTTATTTACCTAATTCTTCCAAAAATTGGAGAGGATCGGTTGATTTGAAGATATGACCATGCTCTCAATGTTAACAACATGCTGAGGTGTTGGTGTTTTTTTAAATAACTGCATTTCTTCTCATTCTTCTCCTTGTCTTAAACTTTTGCACATGGCTATATTGCATTGAGCCCAGATGACAGACTGATAAACAATAATATTCGTGTCTCAAAAGTGTCAAAGCAATTCAACGTTAAGCATTTTCACTGTGTTGCTACATGCAATAGAACTCTTTTTATAACAACGGTGGGTAACGATATTACTCCAATCCTGTAATTCTATGTTAGCAAAAAAAAGTTATATATATGGAACTCAATTCCACCTTTTAAAAGCTATACTAAATTTGCTTTTGTACATTTGATGCATTTTTTCAATAAAGTAAAGCAATTTCATCCAAAAACTTTTATGTATCCATACGATGGTGTTTACCTCTTGCTTCGCTTCCTTTTCAAATGTTACGTTACATTTAACTCGCTTTGTCTCAGCATATGTGCTGTGATCCCATGTTACAGTGTGCAATAAAGCAAACTTTAGCATTGATTAGCATCTTGTTTAAAGTAACTTAAAGTTTCTTAAGAAAGTAATTTTTATGAAGATAGGAAGGACTTGTTTCAGTTTTCTCATTTTATGGTGAGTAGGAGCAACGAAAATTGGAGACGTACGAAACAGTGCATCGAATAACTGTTTTCTCAAATCCTTTCTGCCTTTGTCCTTACTTTTCACTTTTCGCGTTAATTTTCTCGAGAATTCTCGTGTGCTCGTTAATTTTTCTAATTATCTGTTACTTCCTAACACTCTGAGCAGTATGTGAGCCCTGAATCACGATATTTCCTCCATGCTTTAATAATTTTACATTCAGTTCATAAGGCCTGCAGCTTTGCTATTCTTTGACCATTTGATTGCAATGTCGTCTTGATGAGTAGGTAATGAAGATTGTTGTTTACCTGTCTGATATAAACTGTTTACCTGTTGGGAAGGTTCCCATTGCTCATTGTCCCAGCTAATTTGTTTATATTTATAAAGCAATTTTCGAATGATTCTAGTATTCTTTGACTTTTCACTCTCTTCTAGTTTCTCAATTTGAAAGTCTTTTTTGCTTAATTGTTTATATGACTTTTAGTATTAGACATGTTTTACCAACAATGTTATGGATGTTTCTATAATTTTGATTATTATAAATGCTAGTGATAATTCTAAAAATAATTTATAGCCTTGAATATAATTATAAAATGTTTCAGACATAGCCCTTTACCAGTATTAGCAACCCGTTACCAGTATTATTCAGACATAACCCTTTATTTAAAATCGTCATCTTCGTATATTTCGTATAATTATAGCTGCACATTCACAAACAGTGGCAGCACCAAAGGGGTTATGGGAGGGTAATTCCCCCCCCCCCCAATTTTTTTAAAACATGGTCTACATTTTTTATTTAAAAACTGATTAAAAAGCACTAGGTAGAGGTAGATTCTAATTCCTAAGGAAAATTAGCCTGGTACAAAGCACTGAAACGAGGAAGAATGGGCGTGGTCTCACTGGCTACGCCCATTACCCTCTCACTCTGCAGTAGCTGGCGTCGCCACTGCACATAACTGATATGATAATTATTTATCTCCTAGTAAGTTATGGTTGACATCTTGTCCTACTCTAAATTATTTTTTTTGAGGCAGTTCACTGCCAAGAATACTTCTTGAATAGCATCCATCTTTTTATCTAATTGTTTTGATTTTAGGTGCCCACCATCAACATTTATGGCCTACCAACTGACACCATTTCATCGGTCTGTTTGTACATCTATTGTTTTTCATTCTACAAAACCGTGTTGGAATTTTAAGAAGGTGGAAAGACTTGATCTTGCCAAAATTCCAAACCAAGTATGTTTTGATTGAATCTATTTTATAAACATGTTTAAGAAACAATGACAAATTCATTCAATTTGATGCTTGGGAGGTCATCGCAAATCTTGCTGGCTCCAAAGCACTCTGCTGAATTAAAACTGGAATTTGGATGAAGCTGATTATGCAACGGGTTTATTCACTACAGTTGTTGAGATGCTACTTTGTTCTCTGAATAATATTAATAATTGTTTCCTTTAATTTATATTATGTGTAACGAGATACATAAAGCCAGCAATTATCCATTAACAGTCTTATTCTTGATGATTTCCTAAAAATGTCATCCTTAATAAATTTGTTTTTCGTCATACAGTGTCAGTAAGATAATTATCTAGTAACAGACAGCTGAAGTTACTGAAATGTTAGTTATATTGAGAAAAATCATTTGATCTGTCATCATTCTGAATATGCTTTTTATTGATTAAATTCCCATTTGCATTGAAGGTTTTGGTTTTCAAGCTGTTCAAAAAGACACCATCTAATGGTAATATTTTCATCTGTTTAGTCTTAAAATTATCTTAAATTATTGGCATTTGATTTTTCCAATTCTTCAAATACCATTTGAATTAACAAAGATTGTTGGATTCTAGATCAAAAGCCAGATACATCCAAAGATCCAGTTATTGGCACAACAACTGTAGATATTTCTCTTCTTTTTACTGGTTTTCGTCAAATCCATGGCTGGTACAACATTGTAGACTTTTCTGGACAAAATGTGGGGCAGGTCAAGGTAATTGAATTGTTGAGGTATTTTGAACTTTATATAACAAAAATGCTATCCAACAATATGCCCATACTGGAAAGCGTGTATGTTACACCAAAGAACTTTGGTGTACAACAGAGGTACTTACTCTAAATTATGGCACATTTCTCTGTCACAACTTTGGCGTAATTGCATTGGCATGGTGTGAATGTACTAGTTTCTAATCTGTCCCATAACCCTCCCTTTGCGCTGAAAGTTTCTGTAGTCGACATAAAAAATTATTTTTTAAAAACTGCATGAATTTGAAAACAGTATTAAATGTTTCATCCTCAAAACATTCCCCACCCCATTTATTAAGAAAGTTGGTCTCTGAGAAAAGTGCAGATCTGCAATAAGATGAATACCGCAGATAGCGAGGGGTTGATATTTCAGACAAAATGCGAAATTGAGACGGAATTCAACAACAGGAAGTCAAGATATGACTAAGCAGTTGACAGTTGATATAAAATAACCTTATCTATAGGGTGTGGTCGCAAAACGTTTATGCTGGCTTCACTTGCAGGGGAGCTCAACTTCAGTTTTATCCAACATCAAAGAAAAATCTGGTGGCCCTGACTAATGACACTTAAAATAGCATTCCTTATTTAAAAAGTGTTTGCAATGGGTGGCGTGTTCCGATATTCTTAAGGGTGTGGTCCGCAAAGCATTTCCCTTGGGTAGACCCTTGGACCCCTACTGTTAGGTTCATGCGTGCCCCAAACCTCCCCTACTTGGCTACGCCAATGATGCCTGAGTACCGTTTTCATTTGGAGATGATACAATATTAAAAATTTGAGGTATATGAAAACAATACCCTGATAAACAGGACATCCCTGTCAGACAAATATAGCATACTACACATTCTCCCAAGTGTTGCTTACCGTGGCAAGCTGGCAGTAGGAATCGGACACCAATATAAGTGGCGCAAAACATATGGCATGCAAAAAGGCAAACTTTCGAGCATAGCAATATGCCATCTTAATTTTCATTGTTGTTTGTACTGTATATAAATCATAGGAAAGCTCCAAATTTCAATTAGTTGTTCACTATTTAGGGTTTACATTCACAAACAAAGAGTCAAAACATTTTTTGTTCTTGAACAAAAAGTTGGCACTTAACTTGAAATTGTTTTAGATAATGATGATACAGGTTGAATTGACATGTCATGACTTTTTGTATTTATACCTGCAAAACCATATGTTCTGAACTAATATCTTTTAGGTGGGAGTCATTCCTGGAAAACCAGTAGCCACTTCTCCTTCAGCCAGATACTTCTGCAGAGAGGTGTTAGCTGATAAGGTAAGTGAATAGAAATTCAAGTATCATTTTTTCAGTGTTTGTAAATTGAAGTGAAAAAGCAAAATTCCTTCATGTTGCCACTAGCATGCAAATTTTTGTGAATTTTCTTGGTAGCTATCTTCATATTTCATAAAATTTGCCTTCTTTTGTTTTTGACTTCAATACAGATACATGGTGATCTTTTCTGGGGATCCAATCCGGTAAGAGCACTGGATTTTGAAGACATCGATCAAGGCCAAAAAGATGAATGGTTAGGAAAGAAATCAACTTCAAAAGTCATCCCTTCTGCTGAGGTGCAAAGGCAAGAGACAAACGAGCAGAATCCAGTGGAGCCTTCTTCATCAACATCTACTTTGTTTCACAGATTAAGGTTACAGCTTATTTACTTAATATCTATATTTAAGACAAGACAAAAACATGGTATGAAAAAGATTGGTTTTGATAAACCCCAATAGATATATATGTATATTTATTCTATCTATACAATTCATGGATATGAAGAACTGCTCAGTTTGTTTCTCTATATGACATGAGAAGTACTTTCGTGTGGAGACCCAAGTGCATTTTAAAACATACAGCTTTACTTTTCCCTTGATACAATTTTATGCTTTTATAACATATTTGATTTATTTATTTTTCATCTCCAGGGATCAAATGTCAGATCTTGATGATCTGACAAAGGAGCTTCGAAATAGGCTAAAATCATATGATCAACAAGATGTGAAAGTTAGAAGTGAGGTCAGGATTCCTGATGAGGACATACATAGATTTTTGTTAGACAACTTGACTGTGGAAAACAATGATGGAAATGATTCAGGAAATAAATCAAATGTGGTAGGGAATAAAAATGAGCCTTTCAGAACAGCAGATATTGACAAAGTTACAATAGGACAAAACATGGATATAGGAGATCTGAGTGCAGATTATAGCAATCATCCAAATGATGACCCTCAAAAACTGAGTGATTTAGAAAATAATGATGCTATGTTACCTGAACACAAATATCTTGAGGATGATGTTATGAATATTCATGAGACTTTATCTGCTCCAGAGCCTGGTGAAAATGCAAACCCAATTACAGACCACAGACTTTATGATAGCTTTGATGATGTATTGAAAGACTGGCAGTCGTATAGACAGGGTACCCATGCACATGATTTTCTTAACTCTGATGGTGCTATTTCTGAGGACTCTTTTCAGACTAAGCAAAAGCCTCCAAGCACAGATTCACCTAAGGAGCTAATAGTGTCAAATATAAGTGATATATCATTTCTATCAGAAATAAACAAATTCAATGATAATCAATGTAAGACTAAAGCAGAAAGAAAAAATGGAGAATCTGCCAGACTGGACTTAGGAAATAGTTCTCACATTGGATCTGTAGAAAACTTGAATCCAGAGGATGGCAATTCAAGTTTTGCAAGTGAGAAAGATGTTGAAGCTTCTTATTCTGAAGTTGATGTTTTAGGCAAAATTCTTAATGATAGAGAAGGAGATTTTACTGCATTGTTTCAAGGAGAGCCTGTTTCATTCAGTCCTGATGAAAAATTGGTAGACAATTCAATTTCTGAAAGGGACATCATCAACTCTGATAGAGAAGGCAATGACAGGAATTGTGATCTCAGTGATAAAAATTTACTTGCAAGTTCTCCAGAGCAAAACTTTGACCAACAGTCTCATTCTAACAAGTATGTCTTCTTATTTGTGTTCTTATTTGCATTTGCTGCTCATTGAGAAGTTATGCTTATTAAGAATTGTCCAGGTCCTTTCTCTTGATGTGACCACAGTGTATGATTCCTATGCTTTTAATTATAATGAGCTAGTGACTACCCTAATTCTTAGTGATGGTTTTGTCATGTCAGTAACTCAAACCTAAAACCCTTGGATCTGTAGTCTGCAACCCTAACCACTTAGCCAGCATCACAACTATGGTGCTGTTAGATATTGGAATATAAGATAACCAAAAAACATTGTCTGCTTATTTTACCATAAAGTGGCTTATACATTGTCATCGATATTGCTATTGAGTTAGTATATGCATAAATAAATTCTTGCAAATTTACCCAACCTAACAAAAAAATGCCTCATGTTGAAGTCAATGTTTAAATGTATTTTGTAGCATTGCCACTTATCATTTTTAATTTAGTGAAAATCGTGAACTGCCAACCAAATCTCCAGAGCTGCCAAACTTCTTTATGCCATCTGATATGCTTGTCAAGTCTATGCAAAAATATCGTTTGACAAAAGTGCATGGCAGTGGTCTGGAGGATGATGCACAGGCTGAGAATAAAGATGAGCATCATGGATTTGGAACAAAAGAAATTGAACAAGAATATAAAAGAAGAAGACAATTATATACAACCAAAGAAACAAGACCTTCATTAGATAAACCACCCCCATTGCAAACATCAGAGATGAACAGAATAGCAAGTATTTTCACTTCAAAGTTCACTTGATTTTGTATTTAGATTAAAATGTGACAAGTCATTGTTCTTGATGTTGAAATCTGTTAATATGTAGATTTATGGAAGATAAACTATGAATGAGACAACCTCTTCATTTGGACTTGTCATCTTGATAATACTCATCATCAGAAAATATAATTTATAGAAAAAATTAGACTTTATTTTATAAATGCACAACATTCATTGAAATTATGCAGGAAAGAATGTGTCATGCAACAATCTCTTTGATTAATTCTCTAAAGGAAGTAGCAATTCTTGGATTGAAGATGCCCAAAAAAACACAGACAAATATAATGAAAGTTAATCTGAAAAGTAAAGTTCAAATCAAAATTTGTGATTTTAGTTAGCATTATGGCGAAATTTCCCTCGGAGAGATTTTTTCTTATACCTTCAAGGTGTGAAAATGACTTCCAAAAAATGAGGGCTATTTACAATTTATCTTGATTTATGGAAAATTTGATCTCATCTTATCAAAACAATAGGCTTTTCCCCAAATATTTGACCAAGTGTCTGCCCCTGGCACCATGTCTCAGTTTTGAAATGCTATTATTCCAAAATTTACCAGAGCTCTTAGTGAATGCTTTTCTCAGTGTAAATTGATCCTTGTTTTCTGTTTACTTTTTTCCACATTCTGTTAACAGATGTATTTGATATACATATGTAGCTAATATTACTGAGGCATTAGTCTAGGCCCATAGCTCTGGTTGCATTACAAATGAAACCTCTAATTCTTCTCAAGTGGTTTTGCTTTCAGTGCAGGCTCAACTTCTTCACATTGCAGGAAGTCCTCCTACAAAAATAAGACATTAAAATGTTAAACAGAATGGTTAAGACTTATTTAGCAAAAGAATGAAAGAATTGGAGATAGCATCGTATTATGCACTTAAAGAGAGTTGATATTGAACTCAAATGATTGAAAACAAAGCTGATTTGAATTGCAAACTCAGATCTTGGTACATTTATTATGCCAATTACCTGGTGTAAAGTGAGTTTCAAGAATAGACACGGTAGTGCTAACATGAGTAATGGTTCTGTGTCAGTCTGCAGAGTGTAGCAGATACAGGCAAAATGAGATCTCACAAATCTATATGCCAGGTTGGAAAGGTTGTGTGATTTTGCCTGGCATTTTGATGACTATCAAAATCATCAACCTTCTCCAGTTCCTTATTCGAGGATCAATGTATACCGTTCTTTTATATTTTTGACTTCAATCATCAAATGTTATGAGTATTTACCAGATCGTAGATCACACGGACAATCAAAGAACAGCTAGGACATGTGGCCACATCCTCCCCATTTTCAAGCTCTTCTTTCGTTATGGCGAATCTGTCCCCACACGGACATGGGTAGTAGTATGTTTCTGTATCTTCGTCAAACTCGAAATCTTCTATCTCGACTTCGTCATGAAATACTGACATCTTTGAAGTGTATTTTCAATTTAACTGACATCACATATATCTTTCGGCGAGTGAGTCCGGCTTCTGCCGCCATTGATTGTATTGCACGAGCTAGTTACCTCTTATTGACAACAGCCTCGGTCTGACGCAACCCGAAAACTGAATGCTGCCAAGCAACTTGCAAATCAAAGCAAGAAGGGATCAAAGATGATTTGTATTTGCAGCGATTTTGCGACTTCAAACTGAAGATTTGCAGCAATTTCTTGGCTCTTAAGTGAAGATTCAAGGTATTTCATAAAGAGATTCTTCTTATTATAGAATCATATGTTTAGAAAGAGTCTATTTGATTCCATTTATTTTAATGTATCATACGCACACAACGCATAGCACCATACGCATGGTGGTAACTTCGATTGATTGATTGTGATTTAAATCAATATGAGAGGCCCTTGATAAAAAAATTTTAGTTAAAAATAAATATATTTGGCAGTTAGAAAAAGCTACTGTTGCAGGAAAAAAATGGACACTGGACAGCAGCCAAATCTTTATGCTGTTAGAGAGGAAGATGATGGGGATAATGAAAATGTTGATGATACAGAGAAGGATAACAAGGAGGCTTTATCATCATCGTCACCTGAAGAGGATATTGTTCTTTATCCCATGGCACCAAGGACACAATCGCAAGCTGATAATCAAGTGGATGTCAAAATAAGTCCAGCCTATCAAATTCTAGATCAGGTAACTCAGTTATAACTATGAGAGTAAAAATGTTGTGTTTATTGTCAAGAAGAATAATAATTGATAGAAACACTGATTTAATCAAACTCCTATGTAAGTTGCCAACATTTTCCAAGGGTCACCACATCTTTTGCTTCAATGATTTTTGTTGGCAAGCACTTCATTTGTACCAGTTACACAGGGGAGCCATCGTAGCTCCATCACAAAGTCAGAGGACCTGAAGAGGAGTCAGAGGACGCACTCTCAATTAATTTTCTTAAAAAAATCCTGTTGCCTTTAAACTTCACTTGTTTGTTTCTGGCATGTTTCCCTTGGTATCAGAGAAAGGAATTTTGGCACCACGTTCCCCCAATGACGCATAGTCAAAGCCAACATACATGAGCCAACGTTTCTTAATTGAGAATGTCAGTAAAAAGTCCACATATGTTTTGCAAAATGAGGATTACTGGTTCTTAATCAGGTTTTAGGTTTCTGATATTTTTTGTATTGAGAACAAACATCTAAGCTATAAAGTTAAAAATGTCAATTTGCTTCTTCAATGACTTCTAATTTGTTGTTTTTCTGCTTTTAATGTTTTCTATTGATCTTCTAGAATACATTTTAAGTGTATAGTTAAAGTTAAAGTATATATTTCTTTAAGAGAGTTAAATTTGTCAAGAGTTGTTGACCAGTTAAGTTTGGTCATTATTTGGATAATATTCTATATAATGAAAACATTTGTATACAGCAAGAGTATTAAATCAATATATAGGACAAATGGCTTTTTTTCTGAAAGTTTGTTGCTTGTAATTTTCTTTGCTTGTTATTTTATGACAGTTGTTTTCAAGTGGTGAAATATCAGGGGAAAAGGCTGCCAGACTAAAAGCAAAATACCAAGACTTAGTGGAATTTCTAAAGACAACAAGGGAGACAGAGGCATCCCTTCTGTATAATGCAAAATCTTTAATTCAAGAGGTCCAAAGGCAAAGGTTAGAGCTGGAGAAGGGTGAAGCCTTCCCTGACGTAGAAGACAATGAAGTTAAGAGGTTGAGAAGTGATTGGTTGAAACACAGCAATGAAATATCAGCTTCAGAAGATCGTCTTAGTCAACTGAATTTCAAGCTTGATGGGTTAAGGGAAGAAAAAAGGCTACTTCTACGGGAATATGATAGAATGCCTAAAAAAGAAGAAATTGATAAGCAGTTACAGGAACTCGAAACAAACAGTGAAGAGCTGAAAATTGAGATTGCTCAAAGAATTCATGAAGGGAACAATCTGAAAGAAGAACTAACTTCCAGAGATCAACAAATTGAAAGCTTGTCAAAAAAAATTGAAAAGAAAGAAGCAGAGGAGCAAAACTTGAAGGTATAAACATGGTGAAACTCAGTTTTATTAAATATAGTAGGGTTTTCTAGAGCCATAACAGGCATGTGTTCAGCTTGAGCACAATCAGATCTCTGTTATTTGATGCTGTGAAGTTAGCTTAGCAGACTCTTAAATTAGGTTTGTTAGATAAGCAGACTAAACCAAGACTAGTACAAAAACATTTTACTGCAATAGCAACATTAAAAAAATTATTGCTATCTGTTCAGACTGACATATTAAAATTGGATTACATTGGCCATTTGGTACACTAAGGTCCCTGGGCTATTGCTCAATATCCTCTTCTCTCTTCCTTGGTAGGCCTTTCTTGTAAGGTAGCGATTTTTAAAATGAACTTTGTTACCTTTGCTGTTGGTTATCTTTTAGTTTTGATTTATGCCTATTACAGAAGGAGAAACTATCTCTTCATACTTTTAAGGATCAACTTCTAAAGATACATTCAGAACCGGCCCATTTATCAAAGCAATCAGACTTAATAACAAGGCAGCAAAGGTTTGTAAAGTGTATTTTTTGTTTTTTCAGTTTTTTTTGTCAATTTTCATTAAATATAGCTTTGGTTTTTTTGCACTGAATACATTAACTTGCAGAATTGTCCATCATCATTATCATTTTGATTTTTGAATGCTAGGGATTTCCAAGAAAAGAAAGACACAATAAAGGAACAAATAGAAGAGTTTAATAAAGAGGTAAATAACCCTTGAAATTTCTCTGACTAAAGATTTTTCTTGACTTAAATGTTTCATGTGACATGAATATCATGTTGAAAAATGTTTCCTATTTCAAGATACTGATGATTAGAAATGATTTTGTAGGTAAAAAAGGTTGCAGAAAGAAAGACACTCCACTTAGAAGAAAAAAGCCAACTCACCAGAGCCTTGGATGAGCAAAGAAGCATTTTTGAAGACAAGGTTACTATTTGTTGTTACAGCTTTTTTCTACTTATTTATTGTCTTTGAAATTTGAATTGATGTACTTGTCATGCTATCAAAATTATGTTGTTTCCATCTTTTAATTTCTAATTTTAGGAAAGAGAAGTTGACTTCTTAATGAAGGAATGCGACTTAGCAAAAGAGAAGCAAGCTGAGCTGTTGGGAGACAGGTATTCTCAGTTCTGAATCAGACGATACTTAATTTGTGCTTTGTTTTTACAGTTTTATTGGGTTTTGTCAAGTTATAGCTGCCAAAACAAACTACAAATAGTCAAAGTCATTAGGCTTTTTCTCATCACAATCAAACATCATTAATACTTTAGCTTGGGATAAAACAGTGTTGTCCTAAGGGGGGCTGAAGCTGTGAGCAGGAGGCAATGGCCTTACACCCCTTTCCCATTAAAACTCTCTAACCCAACAACCCTTAAAAAGTGTGCCCCTGGGCATCAGAGAAGAGAATAGAGAATTTGGTCTCATCTCAAATAGTAAAGATGTCATTAACCATACTCCTCTCTTCCCAAGAAAGCCAAATATCACCAACCTCCCAAGTCAAAGGAAGGAAATATCTGTTTGCATGATTGAATTTTGTCTTCTTGTGCAGAGCAGCAATTTCAACAAGGATGCAGAATTGATTACGTAGTTTATCTATTTCCTTAGAACCACACTTGATCTGAATCTAAAACACAGTCTACTTGAGAAGAAGAATGAGCATGATGTTCATGCGAGAAAGCAAAGGGAAAAAGATCGAAATCTGAAGTATGTTTTGCTGTCTCAATTCATTTTACCTATGTTCATAATTATTTCAAATAGTTTATATAGTCTATGAATTTTTTTTCTGATCATTTAATTTGTTTTCCGTCATGTTTTGTCACCTGCAAAAACCATACCTTTATATCTTGCATTTTTCAGTAAAACAACAAATAGATATGAACAGTGTGAAACACCTCTTTCAATTGCAGGAAATTTTCAAAGACTCTTTTAGTTGTAGAAGTTTGATGATTCACTTTTAGCACCATCTATTCCATCTATGCATGCATTCCAGTCCTTACATATTTTCTAAAAAATTTCGCAGGAAGATATAAGATTATAACAATTGCAAGTGGTTTCATTTCATTAAAGCTGAGACACATCAACCCTCTCAAACTACCTTTAATGGTAACTATTGTTGTTTTAGAATATTAAAGAAAGGCGAACTGCAGCTAAAAGCAGCCCAAGACAGTTTAGCACACGTCAAATCGATTCACGACAAAGTTGCTGGCCAAGTCGAGGCCCTTCCGAAAGATGACGGCAGTCTTCTTGAGAAGAGAAAGGAGCTTCAGAAGGAAGTTGACATCGCCAGACGAAACCTTGCTTTAAAGGTTGGTTTCTGCTTCTAATTCTTTTTCATTTTAAAACTTAATAAGTAAAGCTTCCGTAATGTTGTAATATAGGTTTTATATTTTTATTCATTTTCTTTCTGATATGCCTATTTATTTTTATTTTAAGTTTGATCATTATTTTCAATAACACATTTGAATCTTTTTTGTTTCGGTGTCTCAATTGAGATTAAGTACATTTTGTTTTGCCTTACGACACATCATTGTATTATTTTAAATGAATCTTTATAACTCATAACTCTTCATCAGCTGGCAAACGTAACAGAAAATGACAGCCTGCTCTTAACTTAACTTAACTTAACTTAACTTAACTTAACTTAACTTAACTTAACTTAACTTAACTTAACTTAACTTAACTTTTAGAACGCGGCCACTGCGAGGGAACGTCACAATGTAGAGGAAGGCAAGCAGAAAGAGGAGCAGCTGCTTGCAGAGCAAGGTCAGTTGCGGGTGGACGTCGTCGATTTAACGAGGCTTGCTCAGATCAAAGCCGATGAGAGGGAGCAAAAAGCACGTGACTACCTCAAAGCCGAGCTTAGATATCAAAGAGCGTTGGAGGACCTGAAAACCAAAGAGCTTACAATCCAAGACAGTGCAAAGAAACACACTGAAGTGCAGCATAGGTGTGTGATTTGCGATTTTCGTTTTTCGATTCAATAGGTCAGTTTAGATACAGCTTAAAGTGCGTAGTCTACATAGAGATTGAATGGAGGAAATATGAAAATGCATTTGAAATTATGAAGCCTTTTACTGAAAGTACTTTCTTTGTCTACCGCATTTTTCTTGAAAATTATATAAATGTGAAACTCAGAATAACATAACTAGTAGTGCAAACGTCAGACCAAAAAAGCTGAAGGATTTCAATAGATTGATTTGAATACAACCCGCATTGTCTTATACACCACTGTTTAATTTCCTTACAAATCACCATCCGCAGGCTACAAGAGTTTGCAAAGCTGTATGACGTCATAAAGAATGAAAGGAATAAATGTGTGAATCAGATTCAGACCAGTACTCAGGTATGCTCTATTTTTGCCAATTTATACATTCATTGTTATTTAACAGAGTTAAAATTGATATACTGGCTGACAGACATCAATGTAAATACTTTGTTTGGTTGTAGACTTAATGTAAAGTTTTTTTGAAGAAAAAAATCATCCTCGTCTTTTTGAGCCCTTTATTTGATCTAAAATCTTCTATAATTGTTTTATGGATAATCCCTTCCCTGTCACAAGCAATTCTAAGAAGAGTCTGCTGCGCAGAACACTTGCTGGTAACCGTACGAATGGCTTTTACAATTGTGACTGGGCCTACAGCTGATCTTAAATTCCTTAAAACAATGAAATCAAAACACCACTTTTACCAACATTCTCCTCTTTTTAGCAACCTGAATCTTAACAATGAGACCGGCCTATTTAATGCTATCCTTTTCTTGTAGTTTGTGTCCTCTCCCTCTTTAGTCTTCTCTTTCGTCTTCTCCTGATTTAGCTTTTCCTCTTTTGGCTTTATTTCATCATCTAGACTAGATGGACGGATTATCTGTGAATTTTCACGTCTTTCCTCCATCTTCCGTCTCAAACCCGAGATTTGTTAGTTTTGATATTATTGACGCATAAATTAAGTGGTAAAATGATTTTAGCAATCCTTTTCTTACTTTTTAGCAAGCTGCAGAAATGAGAGAGAAGATAAAAATTCTCCAAAATGAAATTGAAATTTTAAGAACAGCTGCTGCTGCAAGAGAGAGGTGAGTTTTAGTGCTTTGCAACAGTGCAATGTTTTATTGACTAAATTCTCTGATAAAACATTGTTTGATCTTTATCACAATGCTTTATGCAGGGTTCATGAAATTTTGATCCATTGGCATTGTAGACAAAATATTAACAAAACTACATTCTTATCAGTGAGATAAGCAGGGTTAGAAAAGCGTAGATTTTATAATGAACTTAGCATTCAAGAGTACCGTAAGTCATTGTTGGGGATTATTGAGAGCAAACCTATTTTCTCTACAATGCTACTGCGCTCTATGCCAAAGTTATTTGCCTTTAATTACACGGGTATTTGACGATAGCAGAGAAGAGCAGACATTTAGCGTGCTACAAAATTTTTGTTTGAGAGTTCTCTGAGTATAAGTGTCAGGCAATAGCCAAGAGGTAAGTAGAGATTTGTATCCAGATGCGGAACAAAAGTAAAGTGAGAGAAAGAATGATGTTTTTATTGGTTCCTTGCCTTCTACTTTTTGTCACTATACGACACTTCTGCTCCAAGAGCTCTTAAATCTGTTTGAGTATGTCATGCTTCTACTTTTCCATGCGACTGCAATAATTTTAGTGTGAATTTGACTTTTGTGTTTGTTAGGAAAGAAGTAAAATAGAAAGATGGGACTTAAAATGTCACAACTTTAGATGTCACAACTTTGTGAATGTCGTTTTTGACAACTTTGTGAATTAAAACTTTGCCAATGCAAGGAATTTTGATATTTTTATTAGGGTTTCTCTGTGATCTAAAAGATAAATAGGGCGTTAAAAGATATTTGAAGAATTGTTAAAAATGTTTGCTTTATATAAAGAATAATTGAAGAGGATTGTCACTCTTTAATCTTTTGACGTGTACGATATGTATCAGTCAAAGATCTCATTATGTTTTCTAGACATCTTCAGAAGGCAAAACTAAAGCATGGAAGTGCCGTTATAATACGTGACAGTCTCCGCAATGAGGTCAGCAAACAGCAAATGAATGCGGAGGAGCTTAAGGAAAAACGGGAACAACAGGTAATTAGGCTCATTCATGAATTTGGCAAAAGCAGTAAGAAAAGTTGCACATAATTCATAATTTTATATAAATTATATCTATTCCTAGATTCAGTCATGGAAATTATAATAAATTATAAATTTATATTAAAGGCTATTTGCCTTGATTTCAGTGACTGGTTTTTTGCTATCAACTTTTGCCCATACGTTTGACAGGTTCAAATTATACCATATCTTCTATGTGCATTACTTCACAAACTGATAATCCATTCCTTAACTAAATTGCCCAGCGTTATAAAAACTGAGCTCTTATTATAACGTTGTTGCATATTGTTTGTTTTAGCGACTTGCTATAGCAAAATTGAATGATATGATAAGCAAAGCGGAGGAGAATATGGTGGAACTGCGAAGGCAATATGAAGCTGCTGTACAGGAGAGAAATAGCAGGTATCAGCCACTTTCAGCAGTTTATATTTTTACCTAGACGACTCAATACTGAGACATGCCGTTCTGCAACATTTGCGCTGAGTTTTGTGTCTTTATAGCTATTTTCTATTTTTTTTACAAAAACTCTAATATTTGATAGATTCTTTGATTTTGAGAATCATTGGCATGTTAATTTGCATTGGTACCTTTTCTATTTATTTAAGGCAGTAACAACGAGCAATTGGGTGGAATGTCTTCAAATGATGCCATATTTTTTCCAACTGTCAATGCATCTAGAGTGTGTTTTCACTTTTTCTTGTCGACAACCAACTGAACTTTTTGTCATTTTCTGTTCCTTTTTAAGGGGAATCCACTTAATTGAAAGAAACGAGGAAGTTTGTGTTTTCTACGAAAAAGTTAACGTTCAAGGTAAATTTTCAGATGATTTTCTTCCATATGTTTTGCTATTCAATTCAGAATTTTTTTCATTTTTGTGCATTCCTATACAATCCAGAATAATTTTTTCTTGTTTACACTTTCTAGGATTAAAGTATTCACATTTTTTTACTTGCAGAGTCAATGATTAGAAATGGAGAAATGGAACTAAAGAACAGAGAGGAAGAGATTCGGTTTTTGAAGATGGAAGTAAGTTGTTATCATTACTATTCTCATTTGCTTGCTATCATATTTCAGATGAAACCTCCGGAAATAATGTGGTTAGTCACCTTCTTAAGACAATAAATTTTCAAAGGTGCATTCTTTTCAGCCCCTCCCCCCCCCCCTCCAAACTCCTGCCAGAATAAAACCTAGCTTATCAACATTTGTACAAGCTAATTTTGCCGTTTGCTGTCGCAATGTCCTATTTTGTATGTTTGTATTTTGCCTGATGAAACTGTGTTTCCAACAACCCTCTCTCAGTAAACAACCGGTTTAGGAAACAATAAACATTGGTCTTTAAAGGAGAACTGACACGCAAAAATAACTTTGGCTTATTCTATGCAGAATTTGTCGCTGACTTCAAATCTGGAAAAAGTTTTCTTCTTAGATTCGCCGTTTTTCTGATATTTGCACTTTTATCCGCCAATTACGTCACAGCTAGGACTCGGGAATTTCCCGAAGCGGAAACAAGATTATCGCCAGGAGTTGTTAAAATTCTCGGTTGACGTCACAAGTGACATGTTAACAATGCCGTTGTAAGGGCTTTCACCGCAACGGTGAAAGTAAAAATGAAGTTTCGTGTTTTATTGAAAATATTCCGCGGTGAAAAGACTAAAAATTGTCAGGCATTTCATTTATAAGTATAAAGAAGCTATAAAATCCTAGGTACATGTCTGCTAGGACGCTAATAACCACATAAAATTTATTTTTATGCCATGATATCTTCGAACCAGCATGCTTTGAAACATTTAAAGGACCTCTAAGCTTATGGAGAAAGGGGTTGACTTTGTTTGGAAACTGATGCCGTTTCTTCAAAGTTTTTATTTTCATAATTACAAATAGAATCGCAACATGGGGGAGGGGGGGTTGAAGGAATAGCCAAAAGACAAACGAAATCTAGTGGAGGCGGCGGTAAAAACGATCCTGCAACCTGCTTTGGGTGCAGAAATATGAATTTAAGAGAAAACTTGGTTGACGGGAGCTGCGAGTGTGACTAATTAATAATTTCACTGAACTTGATTATTGTATTTTAACAGAGGTTGAGATACTAGGGAATAACCTAATCTTGCAAAAAGACCATCCCCCCACCCAAGTCAAAACTGTTTGCAAAAGAAGAAAATGCGCCAGTTGATATTCCTATGACAGCTAAACAGCATTAACTTCCACTAAAAAATCAAGTTCTTTGACTAAGAGCTAAGAGCCTATTTCGTAAATCCAGATTTTTCAACAGCCTTTAAGGTAATTCCCGAAACCCTTCACACCCGGTGAAAATGGCATATAATCCGCACTAGTGCGACTTTCAATCCGCCTTTACTATTTATTATCACGATACAGTTTTCGCACTTGACACATTGAAAACCATCATAGAATGTTACATTGATAATGAACAACTTGCAGTTCAGTTTAGGGCATCATAGGCATTTCAGCGAATTAGGCCATACAGGCAAAGCAGTCTGGACAAAGACGCCTCAATCTGAAATGAAATTCTAGTTTTACGATACCTGATCTCGTTTAGATTGTAGCAATAGCAATGTTTTTAATAGAAACTCTATATCAGTTTGTACTTCTAGTCTGTTCTTTGTTCATAATATCGTCACTGTTGAGCCATGGGACGACTATCTGCCCAAGCAGCAGCGCTGGTTGGTGGCACAAACTCAGACGGCTGAAACTCTCCATTTGTTTCGAAATCAGTGTAATAAAACTCCGATTCAGAGTCCCAAACCATTGAAAAAGTCAATTATGTGTCAAAAATGCAAAATTGGCTCCTTTCACATGCACAAAATGAACATTTGTCCGCAGCATTTTGTTAAAGGTTTCTATAGAGAAACACAATACGTGCTGAGAACATGTCACTTGTGACGTCAAAGATGATCGCCCACTCGTGACGATTTTTGCCTCGAGTCTCAAGTTGTCGGAACAATTGTCGTTTCTCAACTTAAAACGCCTGTATTTCAAAAACGGTAACTGTGATTTAAAAAAAATCTTCGATCCCAGAATTTGCTTGTCACAAACTACCGTTTTAGCCCAACTTATTTTTGCGTGTCAGTTCTCCTTTAAATGTCAGAAAGTTTCTCTTACATGTAGCAATATAATCATCGCGTAATTTTTAAGTTCCTGTTGTCTTTCGCATGCATTTTGAGAGATTTTTGGCATAGATGAATGACTTGTTTATGTTCTCCCTGCCATCATTCCTTCTAACAAGCCCGGCACTGGCGTCTGTTTCTCAGCCTATGAGAATATTTATGGCATATAATGTAAACAGAATGTTTGAAAATCATGTCTTCCCCTACTTTGATATCTTAATGGCAATTTTGTTTTGAAATTTATGTTAATATGAGAGCGGAAGACTGTCGAAAGTCCGATTGTTTGAAATATTTATGGATGTAAAGCTTTTAACTCAGGCTTTGGTGTAAAATAAAAGTGACGGCTGTAAGTTGCATCTTTGAGTTTCACACTTAATGTGATCATCGATCAAGCTTAACATGTTTTAACTTGAACTCGAATTGCAGCGCATACGGTACCGAAAGCTATATGACAAACCGTTCAGTGACAGTTTTCAAGATTTCAGCTAATATATAAGAATCTTTTAGTCCGCAGATCTTAGACGGTCAAACAATTTAATGAAACGAGCATTACCGCAGAAAAGATCTTTGGATGATGAACTCGTTACACTGCAGTTACAGGTATTATTCTATTTCATTATCGTATCTTAAAATATTGTGCTTTTGCCATTTGTCTTGGGAACTTCTTGTTTAGCGATTGAGAAAGGCCATTAAAACGATTTTTCCACCCGGCCATTAGACAAGTTTGGTAGTAAGCCATATTTCCTTATTCCTATTATCTTATCTTTTTTCATACCTCTTGCAATTCTCTCTGTATTTTTTCCCAGTCTACAGAAAAAGTTCCCTTGGAAAACAGCAACACATTTTGGTCTCCACTTGCTTAGCTTTTGTCTTTGTCAGTTCCTTGGACGTTCCTTGGAATTGTATTTGTTCGAAATCTAATTTACTCTACGATTTTTGCAGCTACTGGAATGCCAAGAATATTTATTGGACCTTGAGAAGTCTTTGGAGAACCCAAGTCAAAGTGACAGAGTTCGGCTATTAGGGGGTAAGGATCCAAGCCAGGACGAGCTTTTGAAGAAAACTGCAGAGGTATGCTATCTTGATTCGTTTTCAATTGGTAAACAAGTTATTTAGCAGTATGATTGATGTTGTTTTGAAATTTATGAATCTAACTTATGATAAAAATTTGAACAGTTTATTAATTGCAAAGTAGTGAAAATATAAAAAATATTGGACGCTACGTGGGTGCATCCGGGACTTTTAGAGTCGAAGAGGAGGAGGAAGAGGAAAAACTGAACTACGAACGAACTTTTGGTACTTTGTAAATTAAATATGATATGTTTTGTTTTGTTCAAAGAAAATTCGAAAAACGTCAGACGAAGACTTTGATTTATGGTAGATTCTTCACGCGGTCAGGAGAGAACTTACTTTAAAAATTAACATTTAAAGGCAGAAAATTAAACAAGTCTTTCACAGTTAGCAACGTGGAGTTTCTCTTGCTGATCATTTTTTCTGTTTATTTAGTTGGAAAAAAGGCTTGCTGAGAAAGAAGAGCAGATGCTTGAAAAAGAGCTGATTTTAGAGGAAGTTACAAGATTGCTGGACAGAACAAAACACAAGACTGAAACTGGAAAAGAAGATACGTTAAAAATCGCAAAGAAGGTAAGGTTTGAGTACGTAGATAACATAATAATCTTCCTTCTCAACATGGTGATAAAAAAGTGAAAGAATTTTGCCTATTTGCATAAATTTTGATAAAAATGACGGTTGTCTTTTTCAATTTTTTCTCAAGAATAATCATTGATATTGAAAGGTAAATTTATATCCTGTTTTCTCTCAAGGTCAATGAGCTGCAGGCCAAAATCAAGGATATGACTCGAAAAATGATGGCTATGGTCTCAGAGTTGTCCATGAATCAGGTATTTTCAACTCTTTTATAATCGCCATATGAACCAGGTGATTTCTCATTATTGTAAAAAATTGAAGTGGTAAAAACGCTTTTATCGATGTCAGATTCTTACACATTCTTTGACTTTAGAGACGGTATTGACAGCGAAGACTTACATGGGTTAGGTACGTTTTCGCACAGCTGTCAAAATATTTGCAGACTTTCCTTAACGCATAGTTTTCTTCTCTTGCCACTAAATAAATACACTCTTTAAAAGTTGTCATCATAATGCTTCTGTTTAGGCCAAGGCGATGAAATTGCAGCAAGAACTCAAAGGTAAGGAAGCTCATCTGGAACAGTGTTATTTGAGAATGGAACGAGGCGAGCCTCCAAATGAGGAAATTGAAATTGAATGGCAAAAGATATTGCGACAAGAACTCCTGAGGAGGAACGAGATGGAGCAACGAAAAGCGGTTTGTCTTCTTACCTTTTCATCAATCGAATCAAGTGTATTGTATTTTTCTTGTACTTTTGCGGTAACAGTATAGTTGAAGGTGATTGAAACAAAAGATCGAATTTTAGACGAACTTTTCCTTTAATGGAACAGGGGGTTTAAAATGAGTAGGGGCTCTATAAAAACATCGAAAAAATCAACAGGGACCGTTTTTCCGACTTAAGAGTAGTTACACATATCCTTTTCTAAATCGATGTTTTATTCAAAAGAGTTCCTTTTGTCCACCCCCATCTGATTCTGTAACGATCTCGCCCACTGATTTTGGAGGGAAAAAGAAGGAGGTAACCAACGAGCATTTTTTGAAGATAAGACGCTGAACTTTTTTTGCTAAAAAAGTTATTTTTGCCAAGATTATAGTTTAAAGCAGAGCATTAATGAAATCCTATTTTTTCATGGCCCTTCTTTCTCATTTGGAAACCTATCCCTGCTCTTTTTAAGCCGTTTCAACGTCATTTATTGACCGTCAAAATTATAATTCACTATTACCAGTTAAGCCCTGCTCCTGGTCAACTCATTTTCATATTTCGTCAGATGAGAGACAAAAACAAAACTTCTCACTGCGTTTCTTTTCGTTTGATAAAATTTACTTTGTATTTTAGGCGGAAGAGGAAATTGAATTATACACAATTCCTGGTGGTATAACAACAACCGCAGAACCACGCCCGAATGCATACATTCCCGATGACGAATCAGAATTACCCGTGCCCAGGCCGTACGGAGCACACGCACCGTTCAAGCCAACTGAGCCCGGATCCAATTTGAGACACATCAGAAAACCAATCATAAAACCTATCGAGCTTTGAATCGTAAAGTTTGTAAATTTCAACATGTAAATAAATCATATCAATGAATTAATCATCCTGGATCTGTATCTATGCACTTTAACCCAATGCTAGTTACATTTTTTAAATTGGCATGACGTCATAGTGCAACCTATGTCTTGGAATGATGATTTTCCAGAGCATTTCAAGACCTGCCCGTGATCCAATAGAGAAATGGTTCTCTTCAAAGCTCTCGGCTCTAAAGCTGAAAGCAATAAGTTGGTAAGTGAATTAAAGCTGTGATGAAATCAAAAGCAAGTTGATAAATTGACCAAAAGGCAGTCTGTAATTTCAGAACCCGATCCACGACTTTTTACGACCGTGCCAACAATTTATCCTTACGTTTCTGAATACCACTTATATGAATTTTTGGGATTTTGAAGCTCGTGTTGACGTTTAGGCAGCATGCAAAAGACATAATCAAATACATCAGGTTGCTCCCCTAGAAGCAGCAAATCCTCTATGAGACCCGCCAAATGGTTAATATAAAGATTAGAATTCTTCTTTTCGAATATTTGAATGTTTTTACGTAAAACATTTTAATCCAAATTGCTCAGTTTACTACTAGTTACGGGTATCTCGAAACAGCTCTACGTAACACAGATAACATATTAGACTGGTTTGTCTCAAAACAAATTTATTTAACAATTTACATAATTCAGCCAGCCATTTATTTTCATTTAACAACCACCACATCTGCGAATCAGACAAGCTGAGTTTTGTGAAGGTCCAATTTGACGGCTGATGGGATTATAGTTTTTGATGTCGTCATTTTGTTTATCTTCTGTTCATTGGGTACCTTCATTCCACTGAGCACCTTCTGTTCACTAGACACTTTCCATCCATTACACACCTTCTGTCCTTTAAACACCTTCCGTCTAGTGGGCACTTTCCGTCCATTACACACCTTCCGTCTTTTGGGCACTTTCCGTCCATTAGACATGCACCATCCATTGTGCATCTTCTCCTTGTTTCAGTGTATAACCAATAATAAATACAAAATTGGGGCGATGACAAATGTCTATATAAGGCTTCGACAGTGGCCACGGATGTCGATCATTTGTTCTATAAGGAACTCCCACCAGCGCCAGCGTGCATATCAGCCTCGCAATGGACAATGTCAAGCAGCCCTTTTGCCTTCAGGTTCAAAATCGAATCTGCAATAACTCTTGCCGTGCATTTCTATAAATATTCAAATAGAAGAAACACACTTAAACCTTAAAGGGTCTTGCAGTCAAATGAGATTAATTTCCCTGAATTGCATTGACAACGAAACATTTCTCAAATGAATTTATGCATCAGTCGACGTTTAGACCCTGTTTACACGACACCTGGACCAGAGCGGATCCTAAAGTATCCGGATACTAATGGATCCGATCCCAGGCGTTTACACGGGATCGGATCAGATAACGCGCATGCGCTTTTCAAAAATTGACGTTTTTCAGGCAAACTGAGATTGGAGCAAGCAGTCCAAACTGAGCACGAGGGACGTAAAGCAACTCACAACTCAACCCTGAAAGAGCTGTTGACAAAAGACAGACTCAAACCAAAAATGAGATTAAAAAATCATGGTATAAAATATTTCTAAGACTTCTGGATTCATCTTACCGCACTAATTTTTCAACACAGTAGTAAGTCAACTTCGAGTTTTGTTTTCAGACATCAAACTCACGTACTTCAAATTTGCAATCATTCTCTCTTGCTTTCGGAAAAAACGTACACGTACCGTTTACACGGGATCTGGTCCAGATCGGATCCACATGGGATCACCTCTGAAGGCGATCCCAACAGTGTTCGGAGAGCGGGTCCAAAATTGTACGGATCCACAAGTTCCGTGTAAACGCAATGTTAAAAACAATGTTCCCTTCACTAAAATTTTTATAACATGCTAAATCAACAAAATACTTCATGCTTTAGTGCTTGTTTCCGATTGCATGCAACAAAATGCATACTTAGCCTGCGAAAATACCATGTGTTGCCATCATGGGCTTCAGAGTTAAGCTTCCACAAGTAAACCGTGTCGTATATGTTGCCCTTTTTCAAGAGTCCGGACGGCCGGAAAAAAGGGTAAAGCTATTCTTTCAGCGCGACTAAATCCTGTCTTAACGCCTTACATTAAGCAAAAAGGAACAAAATTGTCTTGATCGGAAAACTTTTGGCACGAGAGCTGCCGACTTTGTAGGAGCAGTCCTTCCTATTTAATTTTCAATAACAGAAGACAGAAAGTTAATTTATATATAATTATGAAACATATCTTAACGGCAATGAAATTCAAGTGCAAGTTGGAAACATTTATAATACGGAAGTGTGTGGCAAAAGGCATTTTTCTGACATGATCATACCTGGTAGCCTCCAGAAGTGACCATTAGAATGGGAATATCCATCTTCCTTGCCAATCGAAAAACTATTTCATCCCGCTCAATGATACCCTGCATATTGAAATATAATATCAAGATGGCGCCATAATGTTTAGCATCCGTAATCAAGATGGCATTTCATAACAGAAAGTCATTTGCCAGATATTGATCACTGTGTTGCAGTTTTGATAAGAGGCATATTTATGTCAGTAAGAGGAAATTCTGAGAGCGAGGCATAGATGATTCGTTATATGAAAAACTGCATCGTGGTCTTTTTAAAATACCAAAGGGCCTTTTCAATAAAGAACAGAGTATAAAACCGCCCTTGCCAGGGGACGTTTGGCTTCAGTGAAAAAATAACATCAAGATTTAGGTGACAAGCTTTATGGTAAAAATCAAGCAATACCTGATGGCTTATACTAAGCATTCCAAGTGGGTCGCCATCAAGAATATCTGTTCCTACAAACAAGAGGTTAGCCAATATAAAGCCTGTTTATGCCCTATCATTTGAATGTGAAAAACCGTTAGCTTTTGATAAACATTTTATAAGACCCAAAAATTATTTAGCAGTTTCTACCTGCAATCTAAATGAGAAATATAAATCTGTGGCTGAAAATATAAGCGCCTTCAGTCAAAGACGCCTTCAAAATGGAATCTTTTGAAAACAAAATGTTTTTAAAACGCATCGTTATCGTGTGGCCGCAATACTTTGATTCATTTCCACTTATACAAAATAAGAGAATTTGGATTGCATAAGAGATAGAATAGGAGAGTTCAGGATCAACGTAGATGTGGTCTAAGAAAAGTAGATAATCATTAATTCAAATAGAAACCAACTCGATCACGTTTAATCAATCGTTGATCTTATCCGGCCAAAGCATTTGGCTTTACATCCTGACAGTGTTTTGGCGACTGAAAAACACCTCACTGCTGATTTGTTCTTACCTATGGAATTTCTCACGATAACGTTAACTATAGAATTAATATAAAGCCTTTTCAAATCTACATTTTTAAATCTAGCCATTGCTACCTATGACGCCATTTGGCTACTTTTTGATAACAGATTTTCATATCAACAAATCTCTAATGCTATGTGACTTTTGTTCAAGATAATGTAATTCAAATCTCCACATTGCTTTGAAACAACATTGTATTACATATGCAAGTACATGCCTTCAAAAATATGAAGCATGCTGATGAAATTTGAATCTGACCGTGAAATAAATCACCCATGAATTTGGGTTTTATCTTTAGCTACTAATATTATTTGTAAGAAATAATGATGACGGAAAATAATCAACTGACCAGCATTATAAAGAATAAAATCAGGCTTGAATTCGGCGAGAGCTGCTTCGATATTGCTGTTGAAGAAAGAAGAATAATACACCTATACAACTGCAAGTCTTCGTAAAAGCATATATAGCATGGGTTTCCGTTTCCACTGAACGGGATGTTAAAGCAGATAGAGACACAAGGAAACTTCAGTATTGAGCCAAAGATCCTTTATCTCGGTTCTTCTCTGCTCTATAATGGATTCGACGTCTTTGAAAAAGAGTTTATTTTCTGAACTCAATTGTTGCTACCGACGTGGCTCAAAAAAGATTTCAAACAAATAGAAGTATACTAAGCACAAAATTCTAGAACATGAAAATGAATAACTTCAAAGTTAATTTCTGTTCATGATCAATTAAAGCTTAGATTTATTTTAGTTTTCCACGCCTGATTAAGGCTGGTCTTTTCAGAAATGCTGAACTATTCATTAATAGAGAAATTGTGAAAAATATTTAAGCTGTCAAAAATATTTTATATCCCTAGACAAAATAGGCTGTTTTGAACTGAATTCTTACAAATAGCCCTTCTTTACTCAGATTTCTTTTTCGCTTGCAAGTAACCGTTTTTCTGCTACGAACTTACAAACCTTTTGATGAGAGAATTGTACAATTCATCGCCAGTATTGAATTTCAGCTTCACTTCTCTGTTAATTCCCCCTGCAAAAAAATTACTTCTGGCAGATCAATACAGCCAAACAACTATAGCTAAATGCCTGCCAAAAGAAACTTTGAACACTCAAAAATTTGCGTTGTGTCTGCCTGCCAAATACTTCTAATTCCACACACTGTTCCCCCTAAAACAATGTTGATAGTTTAGACAAATATACAAAAACGTACTTCCTAATCTCCTACGTCATTTTGTAGTAAACCAACATGGTTGAAAAGATGATTTTCCCTTTCCAAAATAACGCTGGTGTTCCAAGGCCTTTAGCAGGCATTGTAGTTTGATTGTTGCTTGAGTGAAAACATGATGAAGCTAAACGTAAACATACATTCTCTCCAAGTTTGTGCCGTATCATTTTATGTCTATGCATATGATTTATTCTTATTTGTTCCCCAGTATCACAGAAAAGATTTCAAGGTTTGATTCGGGTTCATGGTCTTTGGACTCTACTATGTTAACCCACAGGAGCAAATCTACTTTCAAATCGCTATCAGTCTATTTAAACATGCAATTAAGATTGTGACAGATTAAAGATCGGTTCATTTTGTGCTTCGTTTTGTTTAATATTTTCATACTAAAGATTTTTACCGAAAACATAGCAAATAATATCAAAGCAATTTACATTCGTCAACAAAATTCTGGAGAGTGTCGAGGAAAGACTGCTTTAGTTTTGCGTGCTATAATATTTTCTATCCTTTTTGTGCTTAAATTCAGAACATTGGGAGTAAACAATACTTGTTGACCGCACCCTTCCGATTGAGCCAGCACCTCTGAATCGCAAAGTAACAACTTATCCTTTGGTGACATCAAGCATAAAATCTGTATACAAAGATCAGTAAGAGTCTATAACAAATCGATGTAATTTGCACATACGTTTTGCAGCCGTATCTCCTGGGTATATATGATTATTGTAGGCATCTAAAATATACACTCGATCGTCGTCTTTGAAATCTCTTTCATGCCCATTTCCCTGCCAGAAAGATTTTGAAGATGTGCCAAGCAAGAAACTTTCAATTTGCAGAAAAAATATTAAAATCCAAGTGACAACAGCTAGGTTAAGCAAAACAGGTTAGCCTGAGAGCAAGCAAGCACGGTTTTACAACATGTTAGACAGAAAAGGCCTAGTGAAAATTATGGTAACCGCATATTGGGAGACTAGTAATGTTACAGGGCTAAAGCTTCTAAATGTATTTCCTTAAAGGTACCAACCGATCTCAACAATTGATGAGCGAAGTCACCAAAAGGTCATCTTGACGCATAAAACACTGCTTTTTAGTATAAAGGAATTTTGAGACTCCCTATTCAACTCCCCTTCTGACTCCCCTTCCAACTCCCTTTCTGGCTCCCCCTCCGAATCCCTATCCGACTCCCAACGTTGTTAGCGCCTATTGATGGCAGAAACGGAGGATTTGCAATCATTTTCAGGTTTTACCTTCTCTCACATGAGATATAGGGAAGAAATGTTCAGCATGACCATGGACATCAAACGTGGCATTTTTCTTACCTGGTGAGCATCAAGGTCAATTATCATCGCTGTCTTTATGTGCGGAAAATTTCGGAACATGAACTGAAAAGGAGGCAAGTGTTCAATTTTGAGCTAGTATTTCAATTTGCACAAAAGAATACACAGGTTCCCAAGTAAAAAAGAATGAACTTTGGATCAAATTTCATGTTCTAATATATCGAAATCGCCTTCATGGTTTTATTGAATACTCATTCATAATATGTTTATTTGATCTGGCTCTTAAGAAATTACTTAGTGTGCTAAAGTTTTGTGGATAAAGATTTTGATCTCATTTCTCCTTTCTAGAAAAGGAACTCACAGACTGAAATATATGCCTGTCAGGTGAATCACTTTTTGCCAGTGCCCTCTCACTTCAAAAATTCTTTGGAATGACATCTTTTAAATGTACTAACCTTTATAGCTAAACTTATATCTGCATATGCACAAAAACCTCCACCACTGGATCCTGAGCAATGATGGAATCCACCGCCAATATTTATTGACCAGCCATTTTCGATGGCCAGCTTTGCTCCCTAGAAAAACAAGACGTTATTAACACATGCAAGTGCTCAAAAATCTACTGAGTCAGGATTTACAAAGTCCCCATAGAACTGTCCACTAAGATTTATTGTTGATAATTGATAATTGAGCTTTTTCTTATCAATACCCACTGGCTTGAAGGTCAAAATACAGCCCCTATACACAGGAATAATTTAAAACAAGGCAGCAGAGATGCTCTGTCCAATTAGTATTCTTTTTTGATCATTGGTTTATCCATTCTATGATGTCTTTAATAACAGTTTCATGACGAGTATGCATCTCATTTCAAAAGAGCTTCTTTTATTTCAGAAGAACACTTGTTAGAATTCTCTCAACTGGTCGAACTAAGCATGTTCAACTTTTGTGAGGGATGCCTGTATTACCAAGGGTAAGTAATAACTTACTTGATGTTGCAAAGATTTATCTTTTGGTGTGGCTATAATATTTTTATATGTGGGGCAATAGGTTTTTACTCCTAAGCTGCACTTTATCATTGACAGGCAGGAGATTCCTGCTAACTTTCATAGAGGAGCACTACACATGCTAACAATAATGCTATGGAAGAAAATATATCAAAAGCATATTGAATCTTAATAACATGCAAACCAGTATTGTTCCTCCTGTTTGTAATCTTAAACGCTGCAGCAAATGCCTCTGCACAATTGAATTTGGCACCAGACTTACAGGAGGTACCTCAGTTATCATTGCAACTGTCCAGCTTCTCTAGAGACACAAAAAAATTAAGAAATGAAAAGTATCCATCAGTCCTAAACAGATGGAACGAAAAATTCAACTCAGCAATTTAGATTTTTTTGACTGGATTTTAACTGATCTACAGGCCAAGAAAATAAAACATTTAGATACCTGTAGGCTTTTTAAATATTCCTTTGTATGCACAACCAATAAATCCTTTGTTGATGGCTCTAATGGTTTCACAAAATCATCTTCACTCATCATACCAGCTTCTGTCAAGGTACAATAAAACACAATTTTGTTGGTCCTGATAAAGTCAACCACATAATGGCATAATTTTTTCATAAGTAAAATGAAAAAAATTTCCCTTCAGCTTTGCAATTTTCTTCAGTACGAGGGCTTTTTTCTAAGATTCACACAAACCAGACCAAGATGCTTGCAGAAGGATGGACTTTTCTAGAAATAACTATCGATTTGTGCCAATTTCAAAGGCTGTAAGAAAAATTATATCAGAACAGGGCAAGAATGTATGATTTCAAAACACACAATGTCATAAACTTGAAAAAAGTATAGTGATAATAAGTAATAAGATGTATTGGTAATAAGAAAAGCAGCAATGAAAAAGATAGAAGCCTTTGAACTTTGGGTATGGAGAAGACTCCTAAGGGTGCCGTGGACATCTAGAAGAACCAATGAATGGGTATTAGGCCAAATAAATACAGAAAGATCATTATTAAACACCATCAGAAAGAGGCAATTAACCTATTATGACCACATAAATAGAGCAGACAACAGTTTAGAAAAACTGATAATGCAAGGAAAAATTGAAGGGAAAAGAGGTAGAGGAAGACCTGCAACAAAGTGGTTTGACAACATTAAGACGATGACAACAAGAAATGTTTATCAGCTCAAAAAAGACACTAAAAATAGAGCTGAATGGAGACGTCAGGTTCACAACATCACCAGGGGTCGAACGACCTGAAGGACAACTACAACATCAAGCCTTTATTCATATACTTGTAACTTGCACAGCAGTTGTAAATGTAGTTGGTTGTACGCATCATATTGACTGTATAGCACAAGGGTAGGCGATGATTCCTCCTTGAACTCAGAAGTTTCATGTCCCGATGACAGCAAAACATTAGAATATCATGAATTTAAGGAGAATTGAATGACAAATTACTTATATCCCCACCTTATTTTGCAGAAAATTTAAGGTGGAAAAGTTGCTTTCCTCAGGGAAACAACAAAATTGGTCAAATTACAAAAAGTTTGAATTATAAAGATTTGAATTATAAAGGTTTTTTGTAAGGAAACCCATTGATAACAGTATTCCATTTTGAAGTGTTAAATTCTGTATAAAGATTTGTATTATTTTATTAAGGGTTTGTTAGGAGGTTTTCAAGGGACCTCAGAATTTTGTTTGAATAAGTAAAAGTTGCGTTTACACATCAAGTTCAAAATAGACAGAGTTGATTGTATTCTCTTAGTCTTGAAAACTTAAACTTATAAGTACCAACTATGATATGACAATTTTACACTTTTCAACAGGATGCAGAATATGCCAACCTTTCAGATATCCAGCTATTCTTCCCCATTTTTCTGAATCAAATGGATGAAGCTTTTGTAAGCCACCAAAGGTAATGTTGTACTCATCAGAATACACAATTGGTAACTGATTTCCTTTTACATCAACATTGTAGATATGAGTATCATTATTTTCCCTGTTGGAAAAGCAATTTGATAGTTTTAAAACATATGCCATTAAATTGCAGAAGCATTTGAAGAGTAATAAAAGAACTTGAAAGGGATATTTCAAGAATTATAAATGAATTATCTGAAATATCTTTTATAATATGACCAAAATTTCAGATCTCTAGATATGGAGGGTGCATCTGCCAAAGCTAGAAAACATGCATGTTTTTTCCATATTTGATATGACAGAATGTGCTGCGAAAACTTCTTAGATCTTATGTGCTTCCTCTTGTGACCTTTTCCTTTGCCATAAGACACTCGCTAAAAATCAGGTCTCACCAGTCTACATACAATACAATTTCTCGATATACAGTCAAGCGTGATTTCTTAAGTTCCACCAATCATCATCCATCCGACGAATTTTAATAAAAACCCCTACCCCTTGTCGGCAAAATGCCGCTGATCACGAATGGATTTTTTGGATGACTGGGCGTGTTCACACACTGCATTCTCTATTATTGTAATGAAATCGTTTGTATTTTTGAATCATATTGAAACTTACGTATCACTTGCATCTTCAAGGGTTTTTGATTTACCTCCACCCATATTACAAGAGTTTTTCAAGCCAGGGTCTTTCGATCAGCAATTTCCCTTCCAACCATCCAACCAACCTCTGGCCTCCATATTTGTTGTTTTATTTTCATATAGCCTCTCTTTCGATTCTCAAAAGTTTTTTTAACGCAGATTTGCCAGCACTTTCTACCCGTGACCAAATGGACTATGGATGCAGACATTTTAAACGCATTCTGAACCAACGTATCAAAAAAGAATAAGAACCACATAATTTACAGATTATTACGTTTCTTGCGTGACCCTTTCGTGGAACGCTTTTTTGCAACACCTGGTACTGGAAAGCAACTGATGGATTTATACTAACATTTTGGAAAATTTAAGCACAAATTATGCAAGAACCAGAAGCATGGAGGCAGTTACAATCATCAATTGTCCAAAGTACGTTTGCATAAAAAGTTTAGGTTCACCTTTAAGTTGAGCAATATTATGCAAGAACCAGAAGCATGGAGGCAGGAGACATTCCGTGTATCCCAAGGTTTTGCAAGTTGTCGTTTCTAAAAGACTGAACACCCCAAGAACAGGGTGAACACCCAAGAACACCCTAAGAACAAGTTATAAAATCCCCATTAAGCGGCTGAACACCCTTTGCAACATATCAAAATCAGCATATCATTCGAAAAATAATTCGGTTCAATCAATCAAAATTAATTTTGGGGCGGGAAAGGGCCTGATAAGTCTAATGCCGTTGATGTTGTTACAACCAACTGTTGTTTTGCGCGCCAAATGTGTGAACGGGGGTTTGTAAATTGTTGTGTGGCTAAAGCCCTTATAGCCCGTCTGCTACCATGGTTCCTGGCAACAAAATTCAAGTTCCAATTCAATTTAAATTCAGAGAAATTTATGACAATAAGATAATTATTTAGTTATTTACAGTCCATATAACTAATATTTTACAACATGTAGTTGCCTAGGAAGCTGAGAGGAACCGCAACAGTCACAAGAACAAGCAAATTTTCCGACAAAAGCCCTTAAAATTGTGCTTTAACCGACGACTTTGGGCGCTCGCCCAAAACCCACGCAATTTCTGCCACATACATAGTTCAACTAAGATTATCAGTGTCCCATTCGAGCACGGGCCCCTAAATTTGCCACTCCTAAGCCTTATTTCAAGGCGCATGCTGTGGCCCTGTCGCTACCCTCTAACAAGTCCTACACTGTGCATTTTCTGTTTCATTTGTCAAAAATTCCTTATAAAAATCCTATCTAGGAATTGGGCCTGCGAGTGCACCAGCTGGAGACGTCACTGCCTGGAGAATAACAACATAACAAGAGAGGAGGTGTGTCTCGTTCTGCTTGCACTAATTAGCTAGCGTGCATTAGCATACCGTGACCATTTGGGCAAATTAGCGGATGGGAAGAGCAATTGTTTACAGACAACAGGATTTCGAAGATAATTAATAGAGAGTGCGGGAAAATAACCGACCCGAGCGAGGCTCGAACTCACGGCCCCTGACTTTGTACGTCAAGTGCTCTACCGCTGAGCTATCGGGTTGTGCTTTCAAGCCAACACCCAAGGCCGAGTCATTCACCCGCACTGCCCCTCTCTTTTACCAGATCACAGATCAAAAGTACAGTGCAGATCAAGACCAGAGTCACATCTGGTAAAAGAGAGGGGCAGTGCGGGTGAATGACTTAGGTGCGAGGATGGCTCAGTTGTTAGAGGCGCTGCAGGGGCGGATCCAGAGGGGTGCGAAGGGGGCTCGAGCACCCCTCAGATTTGAGGAAAAACTTTTTGGGGATTAAAGCTTATTCTATCGCAATTTTGTTTATAATTATTTAAACCATTTATTATCTCTTTTACCGAGAAGTATGCACATCTCCTGAAATTGTTATATCCGCTTCAATGCCCCGTCTCAAAACTGTTCAACATTGTTATTTCAGTCCATGCATTGAAGTGTTATCAAACTCCCCCTGGTTGTACTGTATAGCATTCTACAGACTCGGAAAGCATTGTCTCCTCTTATAACCAGCCACTTGAGGAACCCGTGGCCTGTAAATTATACGATTTTCTGCACCCGTGGAAGTGAATCTAGCCAATCACGGTGCCAGGTCGAGGGGTTCTAAACTTTGGCGCGAGAACCCATGGATTTCAAAATCCAAAACATCAAAGAATACCGACCAAACCAGGGGGAGTTTCTTCGCTTCAATCTACAGTCAAATGTATAGTGGTTTTATGACCAGGGGGAGTTGAGCTTGAACAGGGGGAGTTGAGGTTGACCAGGGGGAGTTGAATTATGATACAGCACGTGACGATTGCTTAGGTAAAGTGCAAATTTGCAATTTCCGTAGGTCTTTTGACGATCTTTACCTGGTGCTCGATGCTGTAACGGCAGAACTTGTAAACGCTTTGGTTTATATAACAAAACGGATTCAAGTTTCAACTCCGTGTTTCACGTCTTATTCATAGACCATGAGGTATTCTTTTGTTAATCATTCAAGAACTACATACAAAACATTTCAAAAACTTGCCCATACTATTCTTGACCAAAAGGGGTTTTCTTCTTATTCCTACTTATATTCCTACGAATACTTTTTTCTCTAAAGATTTCAAATTCATAAAAATACTCAAAACGGCAGGCCCAGGCGAAACGTTCAGGGCCTCATTTGTTTGGTTTGGTATCATATGTCGATGCATGCCATGCATGCTGTGTTCGAATCCCTGTGTTCAACTTTTGTCCGACTTTTTTCTATTGTTCTATTGTCTCTAATCACGTGCACTGCACTTCAAGTTCAAGGGCTTCATTCCACCAGCCATGATCAAGTTCTAATGAATGGCTGCAAAGAGTCAAAAATTAAACTTTGCTTTGGAAATTTGTGGGCTCGGGCCTTTTGCCACTGCGGGCAATGATATCATATTTGGCTACAGTTTCTATACTTTTGTACCCTAAGTGAATATGAGGGGGAGAGCTGCAAATTGCGTTTGGCATAAAAGCTGAAGCCAAAGTTCATAGTTCTGATCAAAGTGTAGCAAAAAATTACTATATCAATCACGGCATCCAGGCTTTTTAGTTTATGGAAGACTTTCATTTCATTATGGCTTATTAGCAGGGGGTACGGAGTTTGTGCATAGCAACACCCTTGGTTACCAAGCCTTACGTTTTAGCACCCCTCAGAATAATTTCTAGATCCGCCCCTGCGCTGACTACAGACCCAAAGGTCTGTGGTTCGAGTCCCTGGCATGACCAAAACTTTCACCCAGAGTGGGGAGAGTCGCCAGCTCTCTGTAATTCCAGGCGTAGGAATCACGAGGTGTGGTCACATCGAGAGGAAGGACCAGGATACTGCTCGATAAGCATAGCTTCTCAGTGTCCTAAAAACTACCTTCGGATGCTAGGTAGCAACAAATACAAAATACAAATACAAAATACTTGGGTGTTGGCTTGAAAGCACAACCCGATAGCTCAACAATTGTTTGGAGGACAATAGGTAGTCAAAGACTCATTGCTAACAATGGGCCTTTGCAAGCGTGACGACGATCCAAACAATGGCAGTAAACAAGACTCATTGCTGACAATGAGCCATTGCGAGGGTGGCAAATTATCAAGGCGACAATCTTAACAATGACAGTAAACTTCTACGGATTAACCATAATTGATTTCAGACTGTCTGAAAATGCATAATGGGATGCTTGCGTAGCGCAATGGCTCATTGTTAGCAATGAGTCTTCAAGTGACATGTCGTATTTTTACATTGTCACTGGATGTGAGAGATTTGAAAACAACGGGAAATTGCTTGAATGCACAAAGGGAGTCAAACTCGAAGTTGCTCCGCGTGTACAAACCCCCGTTCACACTTTTGGCGCGCAAAACAACAGTTGGTTGTAACAACACCAACGGCATTAGACTTATCAGGCCCTTTCCCACCCCAAAATTAATTTTGATTGATCTACCAAATTAGTTTTCGAGTGATATGCCGATTTTGATAGTTTTAAAGGGTGTTCAGCCGCTTAATAGCTTGTTCTTAGGGTGCTCTTGGGGTGTTATTGGGGTGTTCAGCCTGTTCTTGGAGTGTTCAGTCTTTTAGAATCGATGTTTGCAAGTGTCCTTAGGTTGTAGTTTTGTTTTGACAGTTTTGCCAAATTTTGTAGTGACCATGACAGGTTTCCTTGCAAAAGTCGTTCTCTCCATAGTTGTACACTGGATGTATGTATCCTGCCAATCGCTGACGAAATAATTCGTTCTCAGAACGCTTTAGCGTGCGCCTGGTTCTAGCAAGCTTATTGTATAGTTTAAGATGCATTGTATGCAGATGCTTGTGTTGGCCATTTTTTATAGAGCCTACAGGAACTAAGCATGAAATAACCTATACAAAAGAATTAGTAAAAAGAGGGACTCATTGTCAATAACAGATCTGTGGAAATAACAATATCCTTGGTGTTTTGCAACCAATTTCCAATTTTTTGGGTAATCTGGTTCACAAATGGGCGGCTACTGCTCCCATGCAGCTTCAATCGCAGTCTAACGGGAGAAATCTCTTAACAAGCTTTTTTCGGATTGATTCCCAAAAATCTTTGTTAATATCAGTTATCTGATTAGGCTATGGCCGCAAAAGCTGTAATTGCAATTTACTTAAAGGATTTCATTGAAAATTGTAGAACAAGTCAGTCTTTGAAACTGCAAATAGGAAGATGAAAGGAAGGTTTATGATGAAAGGTAGGCCTAAAATAAGATTAAAGGTAGGCCTAAATTAGCTTGTAAATAAATTGTACAAAGATAGCTATACTATACCCGCCTACTGTAAATAAATCGATTACTATATATTATTATTATAAGGTTGATTGTGTTCATCATTTCGGAATTTTTGCAACAATGCAAGTTACAATTTTTTTCGATTTATTTGTTTCTTCGATAATGAAAGTTTCTTCATTTTTTCTGAATGTCCAGCAATCGTTTCTGACCCCAAGGCTTTTGTTCAAGAAAAAAGGAGTTGGCAGTTACCCTCTGTCTTCAGTTAAACATAAAATTGAATTGTTAACAGTTGTTAAGTGGAATAATTAGAAGTGCTGTTCAAACTTTTTCAGTTTACTTCCTTTAAAGATTGATCAGAAATAAGATTCCAAAGTTCCTTTTCGACGTATGTCACAAGTCCAGCAATGAAACCCGCCCCCGAGAGAGTTGGCGTGCCGTATGTTGACGGGTATGCATTTGATCCCAAGTGACTCAAACATCTAAGAAAAAATGAACAGAAATGTATAAATAATCATCGTATGCAGTAAAATACAATAAAAAAGGTTTTATTAAAGTTGCAATCTTTGATTTGACATAAAGTTACAACTTAAAACAACCGCATGGAATTCCCCTTGCTTGAGAGGCCTTTCTTTCTTTATTTCCTAAACCAAAATATCCGATTATAGAGGTAAAGTTTCATGAGGAGTTGGAGGGCAGTTATCCCTAACACCAATAATTTCTCAAATTGTAAATCAACACTTTACAACAAAGCTTGCGAAAAACTTTTTGCAATACCCCGGCAAATTTGAGTTCTAGAAAGGCACAAAGTCACCCCTTTCCTTCTAACGACGACATGCCCCTTACATATAGCTAACCTTGATTATAGGCATTTCATTTGAATCCACAATAACTCGCTTCTCGTCAAGCATCAGGACATTCATACTAAGCCATTTAGAACTCATCCACAACGGGTGTGTGTCCGGTATTACCGGCAGAGGCGGTTGAACAACCTTCCATCCGGACCGCTTGAACAAATCGATCTGATCACAGGGTCGGTCTGGATTCGATAATACAAGTCCGGGTCCTATTATGTTGAACGTTGCATCAATATGCATAGGATTTGGATCCTTGAAGGAAACTATATGAATTTTGTATTCATCTCCAAGATGCCTCTGAAGCCACTTGATACCTGCGTAGTTTGTTACCTAGAAAATAAAACCAGCGTAATGCTATTATGTTTTCTTGCTATATAGTTACCCTTGAAAATGGAGAAGAGAAATTGAATGAAGAGAAGAAGAATTGCTTCTGGCTCAAGAAGTGTGCGGAAGACGTGGAAAGCGCATCGCACAGTTAAGTGATTTTTACGTTTTTTCAACGCTTGGTATCTCCCATACAACTTTAATGAGGTAACTGAAAAACCTAAGAATCAAAGTAGACATTTTTAGTATAAAAACAAACCAATTGAATCAAACCTGGCTTCTTTGAGCAAAAATATCCCTTCCAGCTCTCATGAAGTCTGCTGCATCAAAACAAGGCTCGTGTTCTGTTGTCACAAAGCGCCCCATCGCTGCAAGTTTGTGCCGCTCCTGAACAGATTTCATAGGATATCCCTAAAGAACGTATACATTTTAAATTACAATTGTACAAAGGAATACAAGGACAATTGAAACCAAAGATTTGATCGAGAAACACAAACTTATGATTCTAAATCCACTTTGTAATGTTGAACCGAAGAGAACATCTTCCAAGTATTCTTTATCATCAAGAGATTATTCTGAAAAATTTTCGATTAAAAGTTGTTCGTTTTTTATTTTGTTAATTGCCTAAAATGTTGTTTTTGCTGAAAACATTCGTATCACTAGTAAGGGGTACTGCAAGCCTCCTTTCCAACCCTATTTTCTTCAAAAGTCCCTTACCTCTGATTAACATTAATCGATTCAAAGGACTGAAAATTTATCACTTCCATACGGCAAGTGAAACCTTCTGAAAGTCATGTATAAATTTCATATAGTAGAATATACAATCGAGAGAGTTTTCAAACCATTCAACAGTTTGCTTTAGTTACCAGATCATAAAGTTCATCTGCCATTGTTGGCTTAGGTGCCGTGGTCCATTTTGCACCTGCATTGAAATACTCCTTTACAAGTCTACGATAGGCTCGGTACTCGAAGAATCTTGATCTCCAGGCCATTGGAGCTTCAATAATTTCTTCACCAATGACTAAAAGTATGTCTCTCGGCATAGCAGCATACATGCCTTGGGATTTGAAGTCTGGTGTTTCGTAGCTCTAGAATTAGAGAGGCTGACCTGTTACAGAAATGTTACAGCATATGAGTTTGAATATGATGTAAAAGAATGAATGGTACAACTGGAGCAGTTTAGATTTTTTTAAATGAATTGCAGTTTCTACTCTGATGATTGGCCTTAAATCTTTGTTTCATTGGCCAACTTTAAAACAAAGAATAAATGATGATAATGATACTTAAAATAATAGAAAGTCATTTAACACAAATAATTAAAGCAAGCAGCTATTTAACACTTCAGAAACATTCTAGGTACCTATATTCATCAGTTATGTACTAGAGATATCCTCAAGGCTGCAAAATATTGTCATGTGAAAATTGCAATTCCCTATCTCGTATCTTTACCCTGTACCGTTAAATGCAGCCAAAATAATATAGTATTCAATGTCAAATAAGCTCTTAGTACCGCAAAATCTGAAGATAGTACTAAAAAGCGGAAACATGACATCAGTACTTTTCGCCCGAAACTTTTCTCGCGCAATCTTCAACTATCAACTTCAGGGAGAAACGAGAAATCAGGTAGATACAACGAACATATCGAGTAAAACTTACTTTCGTATGGTCAATAACATCAGGCCTCTTTACCACAACGCCCTCGTGCTCAAGAATGTTGCAAAATTCTTCGATTTCATCGACAGCCTTCATAACGTGAGCATCTGGGAAAAGTTTTCCTCCGTTTTTTTCATAAAATTCCCAGTGACTTTCAGACGTGTTGGCTTTAACTTCAACCGTCATCTTAGGAACGCAAGAATTTTCTGCACGCCCAACGATGACTTCCTCGAGAGGGTCCCATTCATTATATGAGCATACGGGAGAGGATAGCGCGTTATCAGTTTGCTGTAAGATTTGCTGATGTGCTCGTCGAACAGTCTGCAATCGAACAGTCTGCAATACAAGCGGCGTAACACATCAAATTTAGAATAACACTTAACCCAATGCTGTTTTGGGGGCATGTCAAGACGTTTACTTAGAACTGTACGGTTAATATATATTGCAGTTAGATTTATTTACACCATGTTGCTTTTGTTTTAATCTGAGCGATCCACAAATACTCAAGAACTTCAGACAAGTAATTTCTGATGCAAAATTTTATATCTCGAACAAACTTTGGACAAAATTTCAGACGTGGAAAAACTAGAGATGAAAGAGTTGGTTTTTGAAAAGATTCAATTTTTTGTCCAGTAAGTCATCATCATCGCCATCAAGCTCTATAAAATGATAACTTCTGTCATTACCACATTGGATTTCTTTCTGTGGTATAATTGCATAGACCTACCAGCCACCGTTGCCATTTGGCCGTTTTGACAGCCAACTTCCTCTATTCTGGCTGATTTTCAAAACTGTTGGCCGTCGAAAATTGATTTGTCCGAAAGAGCAAAAGTTGGCCGAAATAAAACTGTATGTTCAATCTCTACAAGCCGGTTTCGTGAATAACTAACTCTTCAGGAGATGTTGATATACTGGTTTGAAATATTCCTCGTATAAATACAGATAAATGATACAGAAGTCGTCAAAGAGACATCGATAACAGTAGAAACATCGACAAGTCTAATTTGTTGTGAAAACCACTTCATGTGCTTCATAATGTGCTTCCATGAAGTGAAAGTGTCACAGAAAAGAAACAAAAAACGCTAATTTCGCTTGGTTTTTCAAAACACGTTCTTTACCAAGGGCAAAGGTTACCAGTGTCGTCGAGTAAAACTGAAAAAGAGAACGGCTCTAAAATCACATGTTACTTCTGCGAAAAGTGTTTCAAAGTCAACAAGGACTTAGCATGCATGTCACATGGCACCACCATGATTTTGATAAACCAAAAATTTTTTTACAGATAGAGAAGGCAAGAACTTTGGATTAGGACAACAAATTGAATTTGTTTATGAAAATGGTTTCTTTGTTGGAGCAATATTATGGTACAACAGAGGATTGCAAGAGTTTCGGGTATACTATGACGAAGATAACTCGGACGATTATATTTCTTTAGAAGACATTAATGGGATTGAAGTAGTTTTACTTAAGTTAGATTAGATATTTACTTTTTGTTGCCGTTATGTTCTGTTTTGTTCTACAAAGTCGTTACTATCTTTGGAAAAATTAAAAAAATAGATTCAAAGTCTCTCATCTCTGTAATAGTTCCTAACATTAACTAAAATTTCTTCTTAGCATGAAAATTTAAATTAAAGGAGCCCCAAATATAAAATTCATGACATCATAATTAAGAAACTCTTAAGAAACAATGAGTATTGAAATTTCCAGAACATTAAAAAACTGGAGTACTCAACATTGATATTTTTTTCTTATAAAAAAGAGTGTAGTAAAAGAGATCAAGATGAAATGGGAAATGGCTGATTTTATATATTTAAATTATGACACACTTTTGATATTTATTGATATGAGCATACAACTTCATACCTGTCTCCAAAAATATCTATTATTGAAACAAGCTAGAAATTTCTAGAAATTTTTTGGAAAAAGAGAGTTTCAAAGAGAGAGGATAGACAAGTTGAGTAACCTAATTTTCTGACCACGCCCATTTAAGATCAATTTAAAATGAGGAAGGTTTTACTAATTATAGTAATGTATTATAGTAATGTTTTCTTGGCCCGAGGAAGGTTGACAACTTTTACGGACTCTGTTGATGGGATCTACCGCAGCAATCGAAGTAAAATTGACTTGGCAAGCAATCGATTTGCTTTGAGTAGACATTAGGTTTTGCATGGTAGAAGATAGCTATTTACTAATTTGGCTTGAATGTAATGTAAAGAATGATTTTTAGGGACAAGATCTGGTGGATTCGGTAACGAAAAGCATGACTTTCGGAGTAGCGATAAGAAATGGAAACCGAAATGTAAAGAAGACGCTTTGCCTTCAAGCCGTAGAAAATGATCCCTGCTTATATACGCAAGTTTACAGTTAATGGAATACTAGTGAAACACTTGTCATTGATCCGGACAAGGCTGCCTAACTGAGAGGCAGTAGGCTTAGGCATATGCCTTGTACTTTTCATCAATTCTTTTCTTCATTATAGTGATTGCTTTGCTATAAACACGTCCTCTAAGTTTGTTGTTTGAAATTAGAAATTCTGATGTTTAAAATGATTTTTTAACCTTCATTAATACATAAGAGAAGAGTTATCAATAACAAGCGTAACAAGCGTGTGCTTTGATAAAAACTCATCCTCCGGTTTTTGAAGTGTTTCTATCCTCGCACCGGGCGACAATTATCTAGGCGTCATGATATATTCAAGGCTTTCAGGCATCATTGTCAGACAAAATAAAAAGAAACTTTGAACTTGCATTCATTTCTTTTTGCTAGTTGAATGCGTAAACTGCCCCGGCAAACCACGCTTTGTTCACGCTGTTGTTTACTTTTGAAATGTGAATGCCGCATAATTCTTTGCATAATTGATTTTTCCAGAGATACTAGGAAACTCACGTACGCGATTTTGCTCTCGGTAACACAGACCCTCTACTTTCAAGTTAGGGGTCTGGAACGCAGGCCACTGAAAACATTGCAAGGGGTGACAGAGAAGGCCGTCTCCTCGCATGGGCTGTTCTGGGGCCCTCTTCTCGGATGGCGACACTTTGGTCACATTAGAAGCTCGATCCAGTCTTTTTTATAGATCAGTGGACCAGACTCTCTATTTTATTTTATACATAGTGAGTCTGGTACCCAGGATAGGTGGTGCATTTGAAATGGTTAGTCCGTCCTCCGTCTTTATATAAACGTTATTACTCAAAGGAAATGTAGCTTTTGTATATGTGGTTTGGCTTGCGAACTTAGAAGTCAAGCGTAAAAAATATATGCCACAAACCATTCGAAGCACCTGGTAATAACGCTGCTAGCCCAAGCGATACAGCACACAGTTTCTTGCACTGTTAAAAAACTACAACTCCATTTTTTAATTTTAAATTTTAGCTATATCCACGCAAGCAGTTTATTTGTGGTACAAAATCATACAATCAAGTATAAAGTTTATTTGTCAATCTTTAAAAGCTCTTGCGCAACCGGCATGCTTAGCGGCAGTTGTCTTCAGAAATTAACTGGGTTTGCATTTTCATGCAGTATTAGGCCGGTTTTTCTAATTATAGTCGCAAAGCGTGACAGTTGCGCAAAGAATTACTTACAGAATAGTATAAAAACTAGCTCCCCTACGAAGCCCGCTACGCGGGCTTGCCAGTGGCCCTACGGCAGGGTACATAGATTAGCCTCGGAAAAGACAAGAGGTGTATTAACCTCGATTTGAAAACAATTGGCTCCGCACAGGTCACGTGATAAAAAAATTGCTTGCACTCTTTAAATTCGCACTCCTGTAACTATCGCTAGGAAGGGGGGAGCCTTAAATAATAAGGGGGTAGAGGCTCCCCCCTTCCTAGCGATAGTTACAGGAGTGCGAATTTAAAGAGTGCAAGCAATTTTTTTATCACGTGACCTGTGCGGAGCCAATTGTTTTCAAATCGAGGTTAATACACCTCTTGTCTTTTCCGAGGCTAATCTATGTACCCTGCCGTAGGGCCACTGGCAAGCCCGCGTAGCGGGCTTCGTAGGGGAGCTAGTCTTCCGTTAATTGAAAGTTGCTTCAAAACATTTGCAAGCCCAGGTCTATTCGTGTTCTTCGTTTAAATATTTTAATGGTTTACCACCTAAGTAAGCCCCCCTTGCATAAGCCCCCCTCGAATTAGCCCCCTGGGGGCTTATTTATTTTTGATATTTTTGGATGGGGGCTTATTCGAGGGGGGGGGCTTATACGAGGGGAGGGGCTTATAAAATTATTGTAGACATTAAAAAGAAATTATTAAAATATCCCGTTTATTTTAGTAGGAATTTCTTTATGAGCTTTTAATTAATTATTACCAAAAGTATGAGTTTTTGTGGCAATTCAAGAAAATGCCAAAGGAAACCTCAGATGGCAAAAATTCATCAAAATAAGGGGGTCGGTCCAATTCTAGAATTAACGGTAGCAGTGGGGGCTTATTGAAATTTTTAGTTCTAGGGTGGGGGCTTACTCGAGTGGGATTATTTCGCGGATTTACGGTATTTGTAAATCTTGCCGCGGCTATCGGGTGCGCGCGTAGCGGGGCTCTCAGGGGAGCTAGTCTCCCGTTCACTGAAATGTGCATACAGATTTAATGTATTACGGTTGCAATATCGAGGCAAGTTTGAAACTTGCTTAAATACATTTTGCGAGCCCCGGTCTATTCGCTGTTCTCGTTTATGTATTTTCACGGGTTACCCTCTCAAGCTCTACTGTTTTTTCTGATTTCAATGATTAAGTTTTTTATCACTACATTTCTTTTAGCCCTTGTGGGGCTCGTTTAATATTGGTTACATGTGGGGATGCTCGAAAATGCGGCCAAGCTTTTCGCAAAAGAAAAGAGTTTTCGTGCAGAATTTTTCTTATGAGTCTTTATTTGATTACCCTTGCCACCCCTCCGTACTTTTTAACTGGCGTCGGAGCATAGATATCGCTGCTGAAGAGAGAGAAAGAAAAATGTTTTGAAAACTTTCTGAAAAGATATGAATGAGCCCTATAAAACTTCTGAACTAATTGCGAAAGGCTGTTGAAAAACGTTGACAAAGGTTCTCCCATATAATTTCCATAAATGAGCAGCGATGGACAATGGCAACGCGATAACAAAAAATATTATATTGCGGATTGCGGAAAGCTGTTGTAAAACGTTGACAAAGGGTTCTTCCATAAAATCTATACGAATGAGAAGCGATGTACAATGGCAACGCTGCGAATATCAAAGAAAATGTTATATTATCGAAAAAACCAAGCAGAAATCGAAAAACGAAGCTCACCATGTAATATTAGAACCCCTAGTGGACCAACCCGTAAAAATTGAGCAAAATAGGACCAGCGGCGTGAGAGGAGATACTGCTCGCAAAACAATGGCGATCAGCAGCAATATCAGCGTTTTTAGCTCATTTGCATATTCACATATTAGTTATGGTAGACTCCCCTACGAAGCCCGCTACGCGGGCTTGCCAGTGACCCTACGGTCGAGTACATAGATTAGTCTCGGAAAAGACAAGAATTTTCTTAAAACCCCTTGTGAATGATAGTAAAATTAGCCTCGGCAAAGACAAGAATTCTTTCGAAACCCCCAATGAGTATGCAGATTAGCCTCGGAAAAGACAAGAGGTGTATCAACCTCGATTTGAAAAAAATTGGCTCCGCATAGGTCACGTGATAAAAAAATTACTCGCACTCCTGTGACTATCGCTAGTCAGGGGGTCGCCTGAAATAGAGAAGGGGTAGAAGCTCCCCCCTTCCTAGCGATAGTCACAGGAGTGCGAGTAATTTTTTTATCACGTGACCTATGCGGAGCCAATTTTTTTCAAATCGAGGTTGATACACCTCTTGTCTTTTCCGAGGCTAATCTGCATACTCATTGGGGGTTTCGAAAGAATTCTTGTCTTTGCCGAGGCTAATTTTACTATCATTCACAAGGGGTTTTAAGAAAATTCTTGTCTTTTCCGAGACTAATCTATGTACTCGACCGTAGGGTCACTGGCAAGCCCGCGTAGCGGGCTTCGTAGGGGAGCTAGTCTTCCGTTAATTGAAAGTTGCTTCAAAACATTTGCAGCCCAGGTCTATTCGTGTTCCTCGTTTAAATATTTTAATGTGTTACCCCCTAAGTCTCCTGTTTTAATTTTCCATAAAATTTCATGTTAAGACTTCCCAACCTTACTTATCTGTTTACTCCTCTGACAAATCAAATTAAAGTTGAATCTATCTTGCAAATCAGAATAAAAAAACAATGTCCTCCTACATTCTTTCAATTTAATAAGGAATGCAAGCAAAAAGTGTAATATCATACAGCAAGCAGGCAAGGACACTTTAAACGTGACAAAAGGCAAACATAATTAATCTAATCCATAGTCACGCCTACTGTGAGTAGCATATACTATTGGCAAGAGCAGGAAATAATTGCTCGAGGACAAAGTATTATTTACTTGCAGCAACAACCCTATTGAGATAAGAGCTATTTTCGTGGAGGAAGATAATGCCTTATTACCTTGATTGTAATTCAGTAAATCCTTTTAGAAAAGTAAACCCAAACTTAATTACTTGCTGGCTCCAGATACCCATACTTGCGAAATTCCTAATAGAATCAATCCAATAAGTAGTTCCTTGATTATTATGATTACCAATTAGCAATATCATAGCTTTCATCACCATCTGAACCCCTTTGAAATCGAGGTTAATAGCACTCTTGACTTTCAGAGGCTAATCTTACTATTCCATTCCGGGGTCCATAGGGTGCCCGCAGAGCGGGATTTACTGGGAGCTACTCTTCCGTTTATTAAAATGTACACACCAATTTGATACATAAACGGTTGCAATATCGAGGCAAGGCAGAAAAGTTCTTCAATATATTTTGTAAGCCACGATCTAATTGGGGTCCTCGTTTAAATACTTTCACGGGTTACCCTCTTTAATTCTCCTGCTTATTCTAATTGCAATTTTCAAAGTTTCCATCTTCTTTTATCTCTCGGTGTATCGTGGTGGTCGTTTAAATATCTTGCAGGCTTATCTAAAAGCTTTGTTAATTATTCTGAATTCTACTTTAAACTTGACAGCAATATGCTTCTGCCAGTCCCACCAATTCCTTATGCTCGTTGGCACATTTTCATGGGTTACTCCTAGAGGTTCTCCTATTTAGTCAGAATCAAATTTTTAAGTTTTCTAATCATACACTCTTAGCCCTCGTCGACTTATGGGGCGTTTTTAAATATTTTCTAAAGTCATTCTTAGAGCTGTAATGTTCATTTTAAAGCACTTCGTTCAATCTTTGTTCACTTGTGATGCTGTTTTTAGACATAATTGCGGGCCACCCTCAAAGCTCCCTGTTTATTCTGAATCAAACACCTCTTCTAAACCCCAAAGAGTTATAAAGTTATTACGCAGTTCTATACATTTGAGGTCCACATATCATATCTTCGTCACAATTATCTTTTGAAACACTGCAGCAACAAAGCACTTAAGAAATGGAAAGATAGAAAACAGCCAAAGTTTCGTGCATCAGAAATGATTCTTACTCCAACAACAAATTAACAAAATACAATTTACAGACAACAGCTAATCTATATAACTTTAGTCCTTTTCTCCACAGTCAAGAATCACGTCTGGGTCATAATTATTGCTTGAAACGATCTTTGATCTAGATGAAGAACATCACAAATAATTAAGATGTTATTCCATGGTTAATGAAAGCACTTTTTAAGGAAATCCATAGTCATAATGCTTTGTAAAAATTTCAGAAAAAAAGGTTCGCCCGAGGGTTTAGCCACCCCTTTATGCGACCTGTTTTTAGTGAAATTTTATCAAACTAAGCATAAAATCATTTGAACTTGTTCTTGTGAAGCGAGCAATACAGCAAATCCATCTTCCTTGAAGGACAAAACTACGAAGAGGTAAAACATTAAGAGAAAGGCGCTCGTGGCGGGTCTAGCGACTCCTTTTAGCAACCGGTTTTTAGTGTAATTTCATCAAATTAAGCATAAAGTCATTTGAAATGGTTTCTAGAATAATTGTCACTCAAGAGGCAGGCAAATCCCACCTCATTCTCAGTGGGAAAATCTCACAAAAAGTGAAATTTTAATAGAAAAATACTCACTTGTTGAACCAAAAAGTCAGCGAATCCGATCGTTTATCTATAAAAAAGGAAGGCGGTTAGAAAAAAGTTGCTGCAAAGGATTCTCGATAGGCATAAAAAGTTGGGGGCTGGCGGGATTACATAATTTGCATTACAACGGGTTTCCTATGAAAATCAAATTTTCTTGCATCAAGAATAAACAGCAGGAAAAATCTACCACAATTCTTCATACTTTGATTGCAATAAAGCCAATCCAGTTTCCTTTAAGCACAAAACCACGAGAAGAGGTAAAAAGTTTTCGTTCGCAGCGGGGGTCTAGCAGCCGGTTTTTAGTGTAATTTCATCGAAATGAGCACAAAATCATTTGAAAAAAGTAATATCGAAAACACGTAAGAACAACAACGCTTACTTGTATTCGCATGCCATCGATTCTGATACCAGTGAAGAAGTGGAACAGCCAGCAGCCATTGCAAAACCAAAAAACGGGCAGCAGTGTGCGTAGCTACTAAAACGAAGAAAAGGAAGATCGTCAGAAGCGCGAATTACATGGCTCTTGCAAACGAAATAATAACAAACGGGGTTTTAATCGATCGATCGATAAAAAGGAAAGGAAAATGACGGCGAAAAGTTTAGAAAAAGCTAGCGAGACTCACCTGTAGCTGTAGCTGTAGCTGTAGCTGTAGCTGTAACTGTAGCTGTAACTGTAGCACTGTAGCACAGAACACGACCGTCGACAACCGCTTCGAGTTCGAAAAGGAATGCCAAGCAGCAGTGCACGTAGATTTATCCAATTCCAAATCACCGAAATTATCGGCAAACAGTAGCTTCTTTGTGGAAAGCAAAACGAATTTGAAAAGCCTCCGTTCAAATTGAAGGGTTG